TCACCATGGCCATCTGTCTGATGAAGGTCTGCCCTTGTAAGAACCAGCATGTAAGCCCATATATAAAAGGACTTTGGAGTAACATACATGTCCATGTACCTTACTCCAGCTCTTTTTACTCTGAATGACTCTCTACTTTCCATTCTCCTGTCCCCCCAACACACTGACCACCACTACCGCCATTTATCCATTAGCTTTGTATTTTGCTCTCTTCATGTATTTTGACTCTAGGCTCCTCAGATTTGTACATCACCCTGCAAGTCTCAGTGTGCCCCCTTCCTTCTGGTTTGAGACCTCTCTCCTGACCCCACGATCCTTCTCTTAGGAATTGCCCCCGGGGATAAACCCAGTAATCAGGGCCCGGGTTTGTATGTCTTAAGTAGTGTATCAGACACAATCCACCCAGTCCCTAAAGCTGGAAGACTCAGAGGACTTTTTTCCTTTTTAGTGCCTCCATCAACTTTTCTAAAATTGGAAAAATAAGATCTACTTTACAGGATGTTGTGAGGATCCATAAGAGGAAGAACAGGAAGGTAATTAGCATAGTGTTAGTCAGCGTTTGACTAAAGGAAGAAATGAAAATATGAATAATGTTAGTGCCCAGCTCTGTGAAGAAGGCTAAACTAAGCCTTTTGTATTTCATTTTAAAGTTCATTAGATTTAGGAGCAAATACTGATGCTATGGAGACCAACTGCTCTTAATTATCTCTGAAAAACTGAAGAAGGGAAGATATACTAGAAGATTAGACTACTGAATTTCAAAAGGAATATTAAATTTGACAGAAAGCTGAGTTGGATGTAAATCTGAGTTGGACCAAGTCTTTGGGAAGACTCTGGAAGGGATTCTGGGTGGTTTGTGAACCCAGGACTCAGCATGGATGCATACTAGATCAGCTTTGGCTCACGGGGCTGATATGCTGGTGCATGAGGGAGCATATAGATAGAATCTTCCTTGGGTTTTGCCGTCATATTTTACAGGGCTTTTTGTGACATTCTTATGGGGGGAAAAAAAGAGAAAAGATTGTAAATTTAATTAAGTGGATTAGAAACTGATTATAGGAAAAGAAATTATCACCAGATCCCTATCACTCTGAAGGGCTTGATAGTGGAATGCCATAGAGCTCTGTCTTCCATCCTGTCTTGTGTGACATTTTACAGTCACTTGTAGGGGGAAAAAAAAAACATATTTATATATGAAACAAGTAATACTTATCAGATCTGTAGCTGACACAAAACTGAGAGGTATAGTGAATATATTTTCTGACAGAAACAGGATCCCAAAACATAAGCTCCTTGAGGAAGGCTTCAAGTTTGTATTCAGTACCTTTCCTTTCTAGTCCCCGAAATGCTGCATATATTCATTAGTCTTGTACTGTACCTGCCTTGCAAGTGTCTCTATGCATAGGTCATGTGTTTCTGTCTTCCCACTTCCTCACACAGTGGGCAGCAGTCGCTGAATGAATGTTTGCTTCATTAAAGAACCAGTGATGACCACACACATTGAGAGGCTGAATCTATCACTCTGAAATGTAATAAGGATAAATATAAAGCTCTGCCCTTAGAGCATCGCCCCCCCCCCCAAGATGAAACAAGCACAAGATAGTGGCTTTGTTTGTAGCATGCATGAAAAAGGTGTTAGGGCAAGAATAAAATCACCTTGAAATGGTATCATATACCGCTTTGCCCTTCCCCTTCCCAAATTCAAAGCTAAGGTGATCTTCATCAGCTCGAATAAAAATACATAGCACCTGCAACAAAGGATGTGAGAGTCCCTGTCTAAACTGGTTAGACCATACCTGGGGTCTTCTGTTAAAGTTCTGAATGGTACATTTCAAGGAGGAAATCAACACAGGAACTTGTTCGGTGGAAAGCCACCAGGATTAGGAAAGGTCTGAAAATCTTACCATAGTCATTCACTTTTTCATTCATGCAACAAATGGTATGTTAAGCATCTAGTATTTTCCAGGCAGTAAACTAGACGGTTGAGTGGTGGAGGAAAAAGAAATCTCCATGAGCAACTGGAGGAAATAAAGATACTTGTGGAAATAAAGACCACCCAAATGAGAGCAAATGAAGCCTATTTATTCAAAGCTTGCTATAGCAAGGGAGTCAGCAACCATCACTTACATGTGACAGAGGCTCGAAGGCCGGGTGGGAAAGCTTTACAGTAAACAAAAGAGAAGGCTTTGGGTATGCTTTCATTGGATGGAGGCTGTTACTGGGAAGCCGGACACAGGATTAGTAGAAGCGGGGCATCCCATGTGATTAGTCTGGGGAGCGTAATCGGCTTTCTCCAGTTAGTCCTGAGTTGGAAGTGGGGGCAAAAATTAAGGAAGCTATCAGTCATTGACTGAGTCCTGACCATTCTAGGACTATTGCTATAGAGGTTGTGGGTAAGAGTCTGTTATCATATGTTCTGGCCATTGTCTGTTTGAATGTTCAGTATCTACTATTGAACACTGAGAAAACTTGGAAGAATCTGGGATGACTGATAACTGTATTTGACATTGATAACTGTATTCAAGTACTTTAAGGTCTACTGTGTTGAAAAGGCATTTATTTTACATGGTCCCAATGGATCAGATTAGAACTAGTGGGTGAAAAACACTTCAAAATAAGAAAGAACTTTTAAAACTCACTGTTATCTAGATACAATCTCAGACAGTGTTTACTTGGTAAAGGAGAAATTCAGACCTAGGCTGGGTGACCTCTTGGCAGTGATATTGTGAAACAGATCACAAGCCTTGGCATGCACCAGAATCACTTGATATCTTTGTTGGCGATACAGAATGGCCTCTGTCCTAGACCTGCTGAATCTGATCAGTGGGGCATCAGAGATGATTCTCTTATGAAACGTTGTGAAAGACATGCAAACACTGGATGGGTAGCTGGACAATGTGACTTGTAAAAGTTCTTCCACCCTGAGTCTAATATCCTAATTTTTGCATGACATAGTCATAATCAGTAAAGAAACCATTTGCTCTTTTATTTAACAATATTGATTGAGTAGCTTCCATTATGTTGCACTCTACTTTCAGCCTATATTTTAATTCCATTAGCATGGTGCGTTTCTACTTGCTGAGGAGATAATGATGAAAAGAGCTCATTTGTTCATTTTTCAAAAATTTATTGAGCATCTGCTATGTGCTGGAGCACTGTGCCAGGGAGATGGTGATGAAAAGGCCCGATATAATCCTTTTTCTTTCAGAGCTTACAATAGCAGAAAAAATAGAATATATTTATAGCAAAGGTGATACATGTTGTTATGAAAAGAAAATGGTGTGAAAACGATTCTTTTTGTTCTGCTGTTTTTCCCCACATCCTAACTCCAATTAAAATTCGATCAACTTATTTACAGAGGAATTAGTACTTCCTTTCCTGAGGTTTGTTTTAGGTTTTAAGTAAAAATGGAGAGCCTTTGGGCCTTAGTCCAGGAATGCTAGAAGTCTTCAGAATGGCACTTTGTACTTAAAAGCTCTCTGCTGTCAGAACTGGTGAGTCCGCTGGTGAATAAACCGATCAAAGGGACATCCTTCGTTCAGGTTGACTGGGCATTTTAGAAAGTGATTCTGGAAAATCTGAGTTCTTTGGATTCTAATACCTCTTCCTAACCCTATTGCAATGGAGCTAATTTATGTTATATTTTTCAAGCGAGTTCTTATTCAAAACATCATGTCTTTTGCTGTGTGGTACACAGAAAGGAGCTAAAGGTTGGGAAGCAGCTGCCTAGGATCTAGACCTGGGTGTCCCACTAATTACTGTGTGACCTTGACCTCTCTGGGCCTGAGGTTTTTCAGAATGCTAAATGATCCTTAATTACCTCTAAAATTCTGATTGGGTGAAACTAAATGGAGAAGATATCATTTCTCACCTGCCTTTTCCTCCTGCCTTCCTCCCACCTACACAAATATATTAGAAGCCCTGTCACCACCATTGAATGGATACTGAAATAACTCGCTTTCTAATCTGGACATGTATGTGTTCCTTAGGTTGAAATCTGAGGCTTCAACATCTGCCTGCATGTCCAGTTTGAATAACTGGACTTAGTCCAGGCCCCTGTGGAATACGTCAGCTTCTTTGATGGAGAACCCTGCCCTGGGAGCACCCCGCAATCTGTCCTCACAGCTAGCACATCTATAAATCTAGCTATTACCAAAGGTTTTGTTTCAATTATAAATAGACCCTCTGAGACCCAAGATATTGCCCCTTATCCAACTAATAGTATCCCCATTATCTAAAGACTTACAGTATTCTGCCCACACCTGCCTGATGAGATTCCTTCCAAAGGGATACCAGCCAGATGGCGCTAAGTTCCCCTCCTGGAGGAGGGGCACTGTCGCCCAGCTAGTACCCTTGAATCAGGTCCTTCCTAGCCTGGGGTTGCTCTTCTATCCCTGATAGGCACGGTTTGAGTCCCAGTTTGCCTGCCATCAAACTTACTCAAGCTATGACAGACATAGGTACATGTACATTTACACAGAGCATTGAAACATTTTTCATAATTCCAATTTTCCATAGAATCAGCCCACTCTAAAATTGTTATTTTATTTATTTATTTTTAGCTAACTTTCTTTATTGCCACCTTGTTTCTGACATAATCTGCACATGTGTTTTCATTTTAGGACTTCCTTGTCTAAGTCAAAACTTCTGGCTCTGGGAGACCCATGCGCTACCACCTACACTAAGAAGAGAATAGAAGCAGGGGCTTTATCAGTATATTGCATTATATTATGACAGCAACTATACTTTAGACAATGTCATTTTAAAACATTTAATGTATAGTCACTGTTTACTCTGAAATTAGCTTTCAGGTTTAGTGTAAAATTTAACCTCTGGCTTTCAAACTTCTTCTTATTTAAGTAATTAAGGAATTTGAGGGGAAATAATTTGAGGAAATTTTTTGAGGAAATAATGATCACGCTATTCAGAGCAACGGAATCATTTTCTTGTCCTCATATTTCACTCTTTTAAAATGTGTTTCACTTTTTGACCATTGGCAGAGCTTCTCCTTGTGAGGCCGAACTTCAGGAATTAATGGAACAAATTGACATCATGGTAAGCAACAAAAAATTGGATTGGGAAAGGAAAATGCGGGCTTTGGAGACACGATTAGATCTTCGGGATCAAGAGTTGGCAAATGCACAAACTTGCTTGGATCAGAAAGGTCAAGAGGTACTGAATATATGTGTTAATTGTTAATTCCTCAGACAGTTATAAATAATATTCTACCAGGATATGTTTTTCATTATGTATCCTTTTTATCAGGCATCAGCGGTAGCCTTTATTGCTTGGAATTCTGTCATAGTGTGCTAAATATCTTCTATCAAATAAGTGATGATTGGAGCCTCAACCCATCACAATTTGCTGACGCAGACAAACACAACGTGTCAAAGCAATCTAGAAAAATAAACAGACATTCAATATATATGTGAAATAAATATGGTTTGCAAACAAAGATGTCAGTGCTTTTGCAGCTGTAGAAACAAAGTAGTTGTCCAAACCGTGTCTTTGGAAATGGCTGAGTTCAAGCGCCTCTTCGAATCTACTAGGAGAATATTTCCTGAAAGAAGTGAAATGTCAAGATGTGATTGCGGGACAGGGGAGAAAAGAGTTTGGTGAAGGGGTGTGTTTATATGTGGGCACCCTCCTAAGAGGAGTGCCCCCAGCCCCTGCAAGATTGCTTACAGCTCATCAGTGACTAGAATGTATGCGTGCTCTCAGGCTTCCAGAGGAGTTCCAGAAAACCACATAGTTGACCTAATGCGGACTTCTGTCTGTGAATTTTTCTTCTGGGCTAGGCCTAAGAGCAGTATTTACTTAAATCATATACTAAACCATCATCAGTCAGCTCGTTTTTCAGCCATCTCTCTACCTTTGTTGGCCTCCCAATAGAACTTAGCTTTTGACATCGTCAACTGAGTTATTGAGTTATCGGCATCTGGCTGCCCTTCATAGTAGAGGCAGGTCATCAGACCTAGAATATGTAAGAGACTATTCTCTTGCTTCCATATCTGGGATGACCCAGATGCGTACACAGGTACCTCCTGCGCTTTTTCAGCAGACAAATTCTGCAAACCAAACCCCTGAGAACTCCTCTGACGCATCACTCTTTCCTTTTTAAAATGGTCTTCTAAAAATGTAGCCATTACTCCATAGTGCCACCGGGCAGAGCTCCGTTTGAAGGCAGTGGAGCCCCAAATAAAGCCGGACTGGATCCGTGAGGCTCTGCCCGTGTAACAATGACATGGCTGCCTGAAAAGATAATACCAAGTAAATTCTAAGCCTTAATTTAAACTGTGATGGAGACACGGATCTTTTGTCAAACATCCACACTGCCCTGTCCTAATGTGTACCCAGTGGAATGGCATCAGCAACGTGGGGCTTTGTGACTTTAATTATTAATAACTATTTTAAGAACTGCAGTACCAATGTTTATTCTTGTTTGGGGACAGCAGTTTTATTTAAATCATGCTCGTCCTTTGCACATTTTCTGCCTTGGTCAGACAAAATTTAAGAAAAATCAAAATTAAGTTTTATTCTTGCTGCAGGTGGGGTTACTTAGACAGAAGTTGGACAGTCTGGAAAAATGTAACTTAGCGATGACGCAAAATTATGAAGGACAACTGCAAACCCTAAAAGCTCAAGTAAGGAAACTTATTGTAATTTAATCTCATTTGATGATTTAACACATTTTGATATATGTTTTCACATATAAAATTATATCAAATTTATGTATTTATAAGTTGTATTAATTTTATTAAAATGGACTATTTTCAATACAAGTAAAGTTCTTATATTTTAATGATGGGTTATATGTTTGACCCTGTCTTTCACTGTTTTATTAGATTGTTTCTTTTATTACACTGTCAGCTCTTTATCCCTTTAACTGTTAGCATAGTGCAAGACTATTACCTTTCTACTTATCAATGACTTGCTAATTAATTGTATGATAATAGTTAGCAATGTGAACAACAGAAATAACTTTGCTATTATGAAATAGATAATTGAAAGGACAAAACTGGTCTTTATTACTTTGATACTGGTAGGGCTGTTTCATAAATGATAGGTCTTCTGAATAGGGATACTGATTCCTTTCTTACTTATTCCTCTACCTCCTCACTGTGCTGGCAAGCCAAAAGTTTTCTCTCTCTTATCACAAATAATACATAGGGCAATCATTATCTGTGCATCTCAGATCTAGTGGATGTTATGTCCTTGCTTCACTTAATAAGTGAATCAATGGGAAATACAGTTTGATTATGAAATTTTTGAAGTGCAAAGATTTCATAAGTGATAATACAATTAAATGAGCCTAAAGTAGTTAATTCTTTCTTAAGTACCTTCTCAGGGAGGTCATCGGCCATTAAGATTGGATATGAAACATTTGATGCCACTTAATAAGTATAATCTTGTAAGACTAGCTAGCTCTTAAATTTAGACATTTTGCCTGCAATTCAAATAGCTGCCACTAGATGGTAGCTCGAATTATGAAACTAAATGGTTTTTCCTAAGACTCTAAGCATTTAATGCTTAACTCAATCAACCTTGTTTTTTTCTGTAATGATAAAGCTCTAAAATAGCAACATGTATATTAAATCACTGTATTGTTCGGTATAAACAGAGACACCACGATCTGGAATAAGTTTGAAAAAAATACAGAAATGGAGATACAAGTGAATTACCATCTCAAAATTATATTTAATTAGTTCAATCACTGCTTACCAGATCTTTAATCTCTGGGTTTTTTTCACGTCTGTTGTTAAAAAGCTGTGAGACTTGTTTACAGGTGCTGAGCAGTCATGTAATATATGAATCCCTGCCGTTTGATGCTTTGCAGCTCTATTTTATTACTTGGCTGCTGGCTAACCAACAAATATCCTTACGGCAATTTCACAAAAATGTGTTCTGTGGAATGCTAATATTGAGAGTTTTGGAAATGCTGTTTACTTCTTCTCTGCTCCTGGACATTTACAGTGCATATTAGCATATTACAGGCTGTGAAAAGTCTTGCTTTAAACAAATCCACTTAGCTTTTTTAATCCATCATTTTTCAAAACATATTTGACCATGGAACTCTATTTTTTAAGCTAAAACCTGCTTATACTGTAGTACAGTATTACAGTGTAAACACTGTAAATAGCTGTTTCATAGAATACACTTTGGAAACACTACATTGTTCTTAAGAGAGCAGCCATCTGCTTCCACTGCAGTTTTCTGCTTCTCTTCTCGTGTTAAAAGAAAGGAAGGAAGAGCATTAGGGAAAGAGAGCAGAAGAGAAGGAAAGAGGGAAGGGGGGAAAAAGAGAGAACTGGTTTGCATAATAGCTCTTAATATGTCATTCTTCTAACCAGAAAATGCTGTCTTGTGGCAAACATGCTTTGGTTGCTGCTAGCTCACTCTACTGATTCCTTCTTTGAAATTCCTGGTTTATTTACAGTTTCATTTTCCTAAAATATCTGAAGGATACACTTTACCACACTCTTCTTTGAATAACTCAACTCCATCAGAACTTTCTCATAGAAATTGCTTCCTTTTTAAAAAGATAGCATTTTCTTTTCCTTCTAACCATTATGAAACTAGGATTAAATTGTGTATATATTTGAGATTTTCACTCCTGGAAAGATGGAATAGATGCATTTAGATCCTGCAAATTAAAATTAGAAAGCCTGGACATTATCTATAAAATGATATATGAAGACTCTGAGAGTGGAGGGAGGAAACAGGCCAACTAAGACCTTGGTACCCAAGGAGCGACATAGTGATGAGTTCCCTGGGATTTCTCTTTGCCTCTTTTATCCCAGTCTGGGTTAACAGAGAAGCTGACAACCCAGACGCTCCAAAGGGCACAAACAAACAAAAAGAATCCCAAGGAATGCCTGCTTTCTGCAGCCAAAAGACCCAGAAAAAGACAGCCTAGCAAGATTACACACTTAGATAATAACTGCTCTACTACAGCCCAACACTACAGAAAAAGACTTCAGCCCCAAACCCATCCCTCCCCTCAGCACAGACTGAGTAGACAGCCTCTCTCTCACTAGCCTGTAATGAGGTAGTCCAGGCTTCCCAGCCTGGGTGGTGTGAGAGAAGAGTGGAGAGCCAGGAATTTCATGACCACCAAGTTTTAACAAGGCCCTCCCCAGCCCATGGTGTTAGTGGAGGCCATGTGGAGAGCCGGGACTAGTATGCCCATTTGATGGTGATGAGGCAACCCCTTCCTCTCTGAATGGTATCAAGGGAAACCTAATAAGGAGTCAGGCCACTCGCCCTCACTACACTTTCACTGAAGGACATGTGAGAAGCAGTAACAAGGCACCTACGCCCCTCCAGTCAAGGTGGTATCAGTGAAGACTAGTGGGGATCCTGAACTCCCATTCCCACTCAGCAGGGATAAGGAACGTCTCCCTTGGGTTACCAACTGAGGCCAAGAGCTGAACTCCCCGTCCCCTGAAGGCAGTGATGAGGCATCGTACCACTTTCCTTGCCAGAATGCCATCAGAAAAGGATGGCTGAAACACAATCCCTAAAGGAACTCTATAGTGTCTCATAGCACAATACCCAAAATGTCCAGGTTTCAATAAAAAATCACTCATCACACCAGGAGCCAGGAAGATCTCAACTTGAATGAGAAAAGACAACCAAGAAGTGCCAACACTGAGTGAATACAGATGTTAGAATTATCTGACAAGGATTTTAAAGCAGCTGTTATAAAAATGCTTCAGTGAGCAATTACAAACGTACCTGACACAAATGAAGGCTTTAGCAAAGAAACAAAACTATAAAGAACAACCAGTTAGAAATTTTATCTCTGGAAAATACAATAACCAAACTAAAAAAAAAAAAAAAATCAGTAGATGGGCTCAAAAGTAGAATGAAGAGGATGGAGGAAATAGTCAGTGAACTTAAAGATAGCAGAATAGAAATTACCCGATCTGAACAACCAAGAGAAAACAGACTAAAAGAAAATGAAGGGGTGCCTGGGTGGCTCAGTTGGTTAAGCAACTGCCTTCGGCTCAGGTCATGATCCTGGAGTCCCGGGATCGAGTCCCGAATCGGGCTCCCTGCTCAGCAGGGAGTCTGCTTCTCCCTCTGACCCTTCCCCCTCTCATGTGCTCTCGCTCTCTCTCTCTTTCTCTCTCTTTCAAATAAATAAATAAATCTTTAAAAAAAAAAAGAAAAGAAAATGAAACTAAGGGACATGTATGACTATAACAAAAGATTGGAAATTTGTGTCATCAGATTCCCAGAAGGGAGAAGAGAGGGGGACTGAAAAAGTATTCAAAGAAGTAATGGCCAAAAAGTGTCAAAACTTGGTAAAAGACATAAACCTACAGAATCAAGAATCTGGGTGAAATTCACACAAGATAAATACAGAGAAACCAACAAGACACATCGTAGGCAAAGTTCTGGAAACTAAAAGACAAAGAAAAAAATCTTGGAAGCAGCAAGGAAGACATAACACCTTACCTATAGAGAAAAATCAATTGAGATAGCAGATTTCTCATCAGAAACCATGGAGGCCAGAGGATTTGGAACACTTTTCAGTTGCTGAAAGAACATAAATGTCAACCCAGAATTCTATGCCTAGAAAAAATATCCTTAGGAATGAAGGGAAAATCAGGTCCTTCTCAAATGAAGGATAACTAAGAGAATTTGTCACCATAAACTTACCTTCAAATAATGGCTAAAGAAGATTCCTTTAGCGGAAAGGAAATGGCAAAGAAAGAATCTTGAGACATCAGGAAGAAAAAACAATGGAAAGAGTTTAAAAATGGGTAAATGTAATACTATCCTTCTCTTTGAGTTTTCTAAATTGACAGCTAAAGCAAAATTTATAACAATGTCTAATGCGGTTCTTAATGTATGTTGAGGAAATACTTAAGACAATAATATTATGAATGGGTCAGGGCAAAGGGACATAAAGAAAAGTAAGACTTCACAGGACTCCTGGGTGGCTCAGATGGTTAAGCATCTGCCTTCGGCTCAGGTCATGATCCCAGGGTCCTGGGATCAAGTCCCACATCGGGCTCCCTGCTCAGCGGGGAGCCTGCCTCCCCCTCTGCCTCTCTCTCTCTCTGTCTTTTATGAATAAATAAATAAAATCTTTAAAAAAAAAAAAGTAAGACTTCTGCATTTCACTTGAACTGGTAAAATGTTGACACCAGTAGGCCGTAATGAGTTACGTATATATAATGTAATACCTAGAGCACCAATTGAAAAAGCTATTCAAATGGATACATTAAAAAACATAGGTAAATCAAAGTAGAATTCTAAATAATGCTCAAATAACCCTGAAGAAGACAGAAAAGCTAAAATAGAGAAACCAAGAACTGGAAAACAGAAAAGAACAAAAAGAGTAAGGCTTAAGCTCTAATATATCAATGATTACATTAAGGGAATTGTCTAAATACCTCAGTTAAAAGATGGAGATTGACAGAGTAAATTAAGAAAATAAATGACCTAACAATATGTTCTGTTCCAGAAACTCACTTCAGACATAACTATATAGGTAAGTTGAAATAAAAAGGTAGAAAAAATACCATGCAAATATTAATCAAAAGAAAGCAGAAGTGGTGCCAAGATAATTCAGTGGAGAAAGAATAGTCTTTTCAACAAACAGTAAAGGAACAACTGAATATCTACATGTAAAAAAATTAAGTCAGACCTAAACCATAGACAAAAGTTAACTCAATGGATTAAAGACCTAAATGTAAAAACTTAATCTATAAACTCTTAGAAAAAAACATAGGAGTAGATCTTCATGGATTTGGATTAGGCAATGATTTCTTAGATTTGGCACCAAAAGCACAAGAAAAATCAGATGAACTTAACTTCACCAAAATTAAAAAACCTCTGTGCTTCAAAGGACACCATCAAGAGAGTGAAGAGACAACTCACAAAGCGGGAGAAAATATTTACAAATCATATATCTGATAAGAGACTAGTATCCAGAATAAAAAAAAAACAAAACTCATACTAGTCAATAATAAAAAGTAAATGACCTAACTTTAAAATGGGCAAAGATATGAATAGACATTTTTCCAGAGAAGGTATACAAGTCCAATAAGCATATGAAAAAAATGCTCAACATCATGAGTCATTAAGGAAATGCCAATCAAATCATGAGATACCCATTCAGACTGACCAGAATGGCTATAAGCAAAAAGACAGACAATAGCAAGTGTCAATGAGGACATGGAGAAATTAGAACCCTATACGTTCCCAGTAGTACTGGGAAATGGTACAGTCATTTTGAAAGACAGATCGGCAGTGCCTTAAAAAGTTAAACTCAGAGTTTCCATATGATCCAGCAATTCCATTCCTAGTTGTGTACCCAAGAGAAATAAATGTATGTATCCACACAGAAACTTGTACACAAGTGTTCATAGCAGCACTATTTGTAATATATAAAAAGTAGAAAGAACCCAAATGTCCATCAATTAACAAAGGGTTAAACAAAATGTGACATATCCATGCAACGGAATACTATTCAGCCACAAAAAGGAAGAAAGTATTGATCCATGCTACAACACTGATGAACCTTGAAAGCATTATGTTAAGTGAAAGAAGCCAGACACAAAAGACCACATAATATATGATTCCACTAATATGAAATGATCAGAATAGGCAAATCCATAGAGACAGAAAGTAGATTAGTAGTTTCTAGGGACTGGGGGCAGGAAGAAATGTATAATCATTCTAATATTCTGGGGTTTCTTTTTGAGGTAATTAAAATATTCTGAAATTAGGTAATATGATGGTTGCACAACTTTGTGAATATACTAAAAACCAATGAATTTTATATTTTAAAAGGTGATTTTATGGTAAGTGAATTATATCTCCATTTTTAAAAAAAAATTTTATTATGTTGATCACCATACATTACATCATTAGTTTTTGGTGTAGTGTTCCATGACTCATTGTTTGTGTATAACACCCAGTGCTTCATGCAGAGCGTGCCCTCTTTAATACCCATCACCAGGCTAACCCATCCCACCACCCCCCTCTCCTCTAGAACCCTGGTTGTTTTTCAGAGTCCATCATCTCTCATGGTTCATCTCCCCCTCCGATTTCCCCCCCTTCATTCTTCCCCTCCTGCTATCTTTTTTTTTTTTTTAACATATATTGCATTATTTGTTTCAGAGGTACAGATCTGTGATTCAACAGTCTTGCACAATTCACAGCCCTCACCATAGCACATACCCTCCTCAATGTCTATCACCCAGCCACCCCATCCCTCCCACCCCCCACCATTCCAGCAACCCTCAGTTTGTTTCCTGAGATTAAGAATTCCTCATATCAGTGAGGTCATATGATACATGTCTTTCTCTGATTGACTTATTTCGCTCAGCATAATACCCTCCAGTTCCATCCACGTCATTGCAAATGGCAAGATCTCATTCCTTTTGATGGCTGCATAATATTCCATTGTATATATATATATATACCACATCTTCTTTATCCATTTGTCTGTCGATGGACATCTTGGCTCTTTCCACAGTTTGGCGCTCTATATCTCCATTTTAAAATAATATGAGAAAAAGAAAGCAAGTGACTAATATTAGATAAGTAGGCACAATCATTCATAGCTTTATTTGTGGTAGCCAAAAACTGGAAATAACCAAAATGTCTGAGTATATGAATGGTCAAGGAAACTGTGGTTCCATCCAAAGCATGGAATAATACTGAGCAATAAAAAGGAATGAACTATTGATAGAAGCATGCATCTTCAGGGCATTATGCTGACTGAAAAAAGCCAATCTCAAAATGTCAAAATTTGATTCCATTTTATAACATTCTCAAATGACAAAATTACAGATATAGAAACAAATTAGTAGTTGCCAGGGGTTGGGGTGGGAAGATGAGAGGTATGAGTGTCACTACAAAGGCAGGGAGGTCTTTGTGCTGTTGGAATGGTTCTGTATCTTGATTGTGGTTGTGGTCACACAAATCTACATATGTGATAAGGTGGCATAAAACTATGCACATATATTGTACCAATGTCAATTTCCTGGGTTTAATATTATACCGTATAAGTATACTGTATAATTATTTCAAAATTCAAAATAAAACCAAAGAACTTTTATAAATAGTTATCTAGAAATTTCTTCACAGATGTTGATAGACCAAGCTGCTTTTAATTTATTATTTGAACAAGAAACAGAAAAAATAGTACTGAGTCTAAGTTAAAAGAATTATTGGAAAGGGGCACTTGGGTGGCTCAGTCATTAAGCGTCTGCCTTCGGCTCAGGTCATGATCCCAGGGTCCTGGGATTGAGCCCCGCATCGGGCTCCCTGCTCAGCGGGAGGCCCGCTTCTCCCTCTCCCACTCCCCCTGCTTGTGATCCTGTTCTTGCTATCTCTCTCTCTATCAAATAAATAAAAATAAGATCTTAAAAAAAAAAAGAACTATTGGTAAGAAAAAGATTGTATCAATTTGATACTTAAATTTATTTAAACTCATATCAACATGAATAAGTAGTTTATGCTGTTTGTATCTTTTAAATTCAGTATTCAGTTTTCTTCAATAAAATATACACTTGTTATTTTATAGAAGGAGTTACTGAAATTAAAATTGTCAACACAAGATGGCACTAAATAAAAGAAAAAAACTTGGTTTTTAAAACTTGTAAGCTTTGCTACATACGGTTAAGACAAAGCTAAACAAAATATTTATCGAGTGAATCATTTAACTGTGCAGTTAGTGAAGTCCCAAATTTACATGAAAACCGAATGGTGTTCAGCTTCAATAATTTAGTTTTAATAACTGGTCCTGTCTTTACTAATCAGAACATTTAAGCATTACCGCATTTTCCAATCATGACTTAAATCTTCAAAGAGGTGCCCAAGAAAAGAACTCTTGTGAATTCGAGTCAGAAGCACCAGCCACAGTGAGACGTTAGCCTTCTCTCTTACTTCCAGTTTTCCAAACTGACGAATAGCTTTGAGAAACTGAGACTGCACCAGATGAAACAAAGTAAAGTTCGGCGAAAGGAGTTACCACACCTCAAAGAAGAAACACCCTTTGAAATGAGCAATTTGAACCAGAAATTAGAGGTGAGCCATCTGTACTTTCTTAGTGTCTTTCATGTGTGGTCAGGGTTGATTTCTGCAGCTGTGGTGGACTGGCTGTCTCCGCTGCGCACCATGGCACGCACAGCTGTGGTAACAAACACCATTACAAATCAGCTTCTCATTCACTGTATTTTCTTACTGCACCTTCCCTTTAGGCACTTAGCGAATTAAAACATCACTTTGATTTATGCATCTTTTATACAGATCAGCATTTTGGAGAGCCAAAAAAAAAAAAATAGAGTTCAAAGAAACTGCAGATGTTGAGTGAAATTGAAGGACATCCCTGGGGTCCGTTAAATTGAGTATCTAATAAATCTTTTAATGGCTATTTAACTATTAGGTACTTAAATCCCAACGAAGCCTCATAACAGTTTTTGGAACAGGGCTTGGCGTTTCAGGGTTTTTTTCTTAAAGAGATAGTGCCACTCCAAGAGAGCCACCATATATCACCCAGAGCTTCTGAGATCTGTGTCCCTAAAAAGGCTTACTATTCACGGATGCACTTATTTTTATCCCTTAACTTCCCAACCTTGGAAAAAACAAACCTGCTATTTTTCGTCCCAGTGCTCTTGAGCACTCCTGGTAGAAGTCATGTAACAGCAGATAGATTCTACTATAAATTTCTGTTCTCTAACCTGAGACCAGTTACTAGGACTTCCATTATTCATTAATTGACCTCAAGTTAGCCCACTGCATTCCTTCTTTTGTTCTCAAGCCCTAAATCCCAGCATCCCTCTCACCATCCCCAGCCAATGAGTTCCCTTTCTTCTTTTTAAGATTTTTTATTTATTTTTTGACAGAGGAAGAAACAGCAAGAGAGAGAACAAAAGCAGGGGGAGTGGGAGAGGGAGAAGCAGGCTTCCCGCTGAGCAGGGAGCCCCATGCGGGGCTCGATCCCAGTACCCTGGGATCACGACCCGAGCCGAAGGCACATGCCCAACAACTGAGCCACCCAGGTGCCCCAAGTTCCCTTTCTTCTACTTCTCCGACAGATAATGGTTGGCCTCTCCCAGTCACCCAGGTAGATACTTAGGAATCTTTGATCAATTCCTTTCTCTTACTCCTCATATTCCAGCCCAGATTTGCCCCTTTCCCTGGTGTCCTGCCTCTTATCTCCTTCCTCCTATCTAATTGTCGTTGCCCCATTTGATTTTCATCATTTTACTCTTCAATTCACAGACCTTCTCAAACTTTCCCTCCAAAATATCTTTAAAAGAAGAAAGAAAATCTAGGATCATAGTCCTAAAACCAGCCTGTTGGAAGAACTTTGCTGGAAGGCTTGGGTTTTAGCTTTTAAATTCCTGTATTCTACTGAATAATATGTTGGGTTTTTTTTAAATACAAAATTACTACTGCTTAGTAAAATTGACTCTACAGGAAAATGCACCATGTGTAACCACCTGGCTCTTATGATGGTGTGACCAGACTGGCTTCAGAAATATCCTGGTCTCATAGAAGATGCCCAAAGATGTGCACTGTAATGTATATGCTTTCACTGAAAATGCAGAGATCAAGTCACCGATTAGCCTTTTGATTGACTTCTCATGGGGTTTTATGGGACAACCACAGTCATGTAAATTGTACAGCCAAAAAAAAAAAAGTCCTGAAAGTAATATTAAATACTTTTTGTGAACACTTTTATATTTAGGGAATGAAATATTTACATAAAATAGATTTCATGAATTTATAGATGAAATTAGTAGCAAAATATGAGCTGGGGCACCTGGGTGGTTCAGTCGATTAAGCGTCCGATTCTTGATTTCGGCTCAGGTCATGATATCAGGGTCATGAGATCGAGCCCCATGTCAGGCTCCATGCTAGGCATGGAGGCTGCTTGAGATTCTCTCTCCCTCTGCCTCTGCCCTGCCCCTCCTCTCCTGCTTATGCTCTATCTCTCTCTAAGACAAAAACAAAAACAAAAAACAAAAAAATCTCTATGGATATAGATATATATAACCTGATAGGTTTGTACTTATATAATAATTTTTAAGCACATTGTGTAGGTAGTGTAAACTGTATAATTATGGAGACACTTCATGTACCTGTTTTTACTTAGAGCCATATGAAAAATTAATGTGTAAGAGATGGGCTGTCCCAGTTTTAGTCTACATCTAAGCATGTTTTTCCTTTGGGACAAATGTTTATTCATTGGTATAGTAATAGAGAAGTGCGAAATATCATGTTGATGTGGAAGAACATGACAGTTTATAATTTAAAACACTTCCTGACTGTCTCATTTATTTGCCTTGTGACCTACAGGCAAGTTGTTAGTCTCACAGAGATTTCATTTTTCACCAATAAATGGGGTTAAAATACCTTATAGGTGACATTGTGGTTATGGGAGAAAAAATACACATATGTATACATTTAGATGCACACTAAAACATTTACGGGTGAGAATACATGAGGTCTGGAAGTTGCCTTAAATTAGTCCAACAAAGAAAGGGTTGCGAGAGAGGCGGAATGGAGATGGTTAGGTTGATGGTGGTCAGACTGGGCGAAGGGTACACAGGAGTTTTTTAAATCTCTACTTTTATGTAAGTGTGAAATGTTCATACTAAAAAGTTAAAGCCATCTTACAGGTGGAGGTTTGTAGAGTCCCTGACATAGAACCATCACTAAAGAAAAGTTAGTTCCATCTTCCAGTATTTAGTAAAGGGATTAAAAAACGTATGTAGCAATGGACTTCCCCTAGAAACTCTAATCTTAATGACCCTGACCCACTCTCAACCTTGAAGACCCAGAAAACCTTTTCCAGCCATGGAGAACTTACTCTGGAGGTTTAGGCAAGTCTACAGACTCTCTGGAACCTGGTGGGGGACAAACTTGTCTCTACAAAAATCCTCCTAAAGGTCCCTAGGTCTCTGTATGGTCCCATAACTACGGGATATATTGTGCTGGCTTGAAACCAGTCTTGAAACCAATACATCTGTAAGATCAAGAAAGCCAGGACTGTTGTGAGCATTGCTGATATGTCTGTGACCCATATTTCTAGCCTGCTTGGCCTCATTCTTGACCTCATTTCTACCTGTTGTAGAATTTGTAAAGAATTGAGGTTACTGCCCCTGCCTCCTCTTAAAGCATGCTGGGAAATACTTATTTTCAAGATTGAGATTGCTGGGTGGGTGTTGCTAAATATTAGTATTAACTGAAAGATGTGAACCATGTAAGTCAACCTTGCCCATATTTTGAATTCTGACTCCAAAGACTCCCTCCAAAATTAAAAGTAAACAGGAATTTTTTAAATCTGCATTGTACTAATTTGAAATATTAGCTATTTTGTACAAGAGCCTAGTTTTGTAAATTTGTCACTATTATTGAAGACCCTGTTTTCGTGTACCTAATTTTAAATTGTTGAATGTCAGAATCAAGTCAATAACTTTATATGAACTGTTTCCATTTATCTTAATAAATATGGTCTATTTATCATAAGGTATTATCATATATTTAAAAGGGGCCTAGCCACATTTTTCCAACCTTATGACCACCACTCAATTTCAGGTCATCTTTAATTACTGTAAGGGGCCTCCTTAATTTATAGCCTTCCTTGAATGATTAATTCCCAAAACCATATGCTTTCCTTGTGCTAAGTTGTGAACATTCATGTTCTACAAATATACTACTTTGAACAAAAACTTGTAGAACCGAGTATGTTGTATCAAGCTCATTCCACCACTTCTTCCCCAGGGTAGCTCTGCTGGTATCCTAAATTAGGCCTAAATTAGATGGTTGTTCTGTTCCCCAGAATGAGTTGATTTTGGCTTTACCTTGGACAGTAGCTTTGAAAACCACAAGGGGACAAAGTCACCAAATCAGTCAAAGCCTTATCCCATAAAAACAAACAAACAAAATTAAGGATATAGGTTTGGTGACAAGAATCAGAAGCTGTTATCTAGTAATAAATCCAAGATGAGTGATTTAATATTTATTTTGTTTTCCAAATGGGGAAAGAATGAATGTAGTTGTTTAGAGTGAAGATGTACAAATGAAAGAAGCCTTAGTCATTGTGTTTTTAAGTGAATAATTTTCTTCAATTTATGTTTGTCCCTCCACTTTTTTAAAAGGAATTTAGAGCAAAGTCAAGAGAATGGGACAAGCAAGAGATACTATATCAGACTCATCTGGTTTCTTTAGATGCTCAACAAAAATTATTATCTGAGAAGTGTAATCAATTTCAGGTACATTACCTAATACTATCCTCTTAGAAAAAATCAGAGGTTAACTATTACTATCTTTATAATCAATCTTATTGCAGATGGAAATGCCAACCAAGGGAAAATAACCAGAGTAGGTCTAACACTGGGTAAAGTTGCAAGTGCATGAAAATTTGTAATGGTGAATTTAGTCTACATGCCTCAAAGGATGGTACTTTTAAAAGTGACCATTGTTATTATATCATTAAATAATGTATGTTTTTGCATGTCTATGGGCTAGTTGCTTAGAAAGTCTAAGATTGCTTGGTTCCTGACCTCAAGAACCTTACAGCTTAGAGGTAGAGATAACACATGTCCATATTTACAGATAATTAATGGCAAGCAAATGGGATATCCTTTTAGAGTTCAGAGGAGTAAGGGAAAAATTTGGGCTGAGATAGTGAGGAAATATCCTCCAGCAGGAGTAGGACTGGGGCTGGCCCTTGAAGAATGGATGTATTTTGAGACTGTATTTTGGGTGGTGGAAGTACCAGGAGCAAAATCACTGAAGCAAGAGAGCAAAAAGCAAATTCTGGGTTTAGAAAATGGGCCAATTGGTTGGGAGTCCCTGTGGAAAGCAAGGAACGGTAGGAGATGGTAAGCCTGGTGAGTTGAATACAGATTATAATAAGCCTTAAAGTCTTGGCCAAGGCATTTGGAATTTTTATTAACGCCAGTGAGAAATTATGGTTTTTGTTTGATTTGGGTTTTGTTTCTTATTTTTCATTCTTTACGTTACTTAAATTACCTAAGTTATATATGTTCTCTGAATCTAACAATACAAAATAATCCAATGTAAAATTAATAGCGTCTTCTCCATTCTTATCAATTTAATACAAAATAGGTGTTTTTCTTTCCATACTTTTTCTTTTGTTTGTACAAACATGTAAAGTATGTATTTGGGGGAAGTTGTATATTTTTTCCTTTTTAAAATTTTGTTGTTTTACTTAATAATTATCCTTCCTCATGAATATTCTTTCAAGTCATTACCTAATTCTGCATAATATTTAATAGAATTTTGTTTCTATTACCATATATATCATAGTACATTGTACCTATACCTTAATTCTTCCAATCATTTCCTTATTGATGAACATTCAAGTTGTTTCTAGTTTTTTTGCTATTATAATACTGTAATAAATATCCTTGTACATACATCTTCAAATGTTATTATTTTTCTTTTGTTAAATTAAAAATCCTAGAAATGATTCTTGAGCCAAAGAGTATTATGTCCATTCAAATTTTTTAAATAAATACTAGCTAGCATATTACTTCCCAAAAGGTTATAGTAATTTCCATTCATGAACAGTCTATGGGGTACTCGTACTTTCACCAACATGGAATGTTATCAGTCTTTTGATTTTTACCAACTTGGACTGATAGCAGAATGGCTTGATTTGTTTTGCAATTCTCTGACTACTTGTAAGAGCATCTTTCCTATCCTTCTTAGTCTTTTCCATTTCCTTTTCTGTGAATTGCCTGTTTATAAATTTTGCCAATTCTTCTTTTGTGTCATTTCTCTTTTTCTTATGAATGTGTAGAAGTTTTTGTACATTAAGAATTATTAACCCTTGTTATATGTGTTGACAACTCTTTCCTACAATCTGTCTTTAATTTTATTTTTCATCCTATAGACCTTTTCAACTATTGTGTAATTGTATCCACGATTTTCCTCTTCTGAACATTTTTTCTTGCTTAATAAGATTTCCCTACTCTAAGCCCCCTCCCCTACTCTATGTCTGCTCTGAGGTTCTACAAATATATTTTCTCTTTACATCATCCGAAATTGAGGTTTTAGAAAAAAACACAAGACTGAATTACAGAGAGTGAAGCTCCATTATAAACATATTGAAAAATATTTCTCCCAAGTCTTTTCTGTCATTCTTGAATGTTGTTTATGGAAGCTTAAATACAATGTTCTCCGTTTCATCGACACAGTCTTAATTTTTCTCAGAAACAGGCACAAAGTTACCAAACTCAACTCAGTGGTAAAAAACAGTGCACAGAAGACAACAGCTCAGAAGATCCTCAGTTGATGTGTGACCTGGATCACAGTTGCAAAGGCAGTGAAAGAGATGAGTTCATTATTGAAAAACTAAAGTCAGCTGTGAGTGAAATAGCATTAAGCAGGAATAAGTTACAAGATGAAAATCAGAAGCTCTTACAAGAACTGAAGATGTACCAAAGACAGTGCCAGGTGATTCTTTATTTTACAACTGATACTGTCCATGAGTTGTAGAAATCATGACTGAACAGGTATATGGATTAGAAAGCTAACTTTCTATTCCATGTGTAAATTCATTTCCTAGTTCCTCTTAGTAATTCTCACTTGATGAGTAAATTCGGCAATCCCATAGATGCTATTCCCCACCAGAGTGAACGTGAGTTCTACAGCAGTATAGAATGATTCATTACCAGGATAGAACAGTGCTCACTTACAGACCCCGGGGCCTAACACCTGTGGCCCTCTGGCCCCATGCTGCCCTGTGTCCCTGCGATTCTCTCTGACCCTGTGCCTCCTTGACTTGCAGGATTCCTGGGTTGGAGATCCAGGAGATCAGTAAGGGTTCAACAATCTGATTACCTCAGTGAGAGGCACGGAGGTCACTCCCTGGGATTTATCACTGTTCACTTTACCATGATCATTTGCCAAGTAGCCTGGGGTTCGGGGTTTTTTGTTCATTTGTTTGTTTTTAGGTAATCTCTACGTTGGCAAATGCGATTGCTGGTTTTTCTAAGCATTAATTTTCTTCTTAACCCAACAGTCTTGTCTGTCTCTTCCTTCCTCCCTCCCTTCCTCCTTCCTTCCTCCCCCCTCCCTCCCTTCCTTCCTTCCTCTCTCTCTTTCTTTTCTTTCTTTCTTTCTTTCTTTCTTTCTTTCTTTCTTTCTTTCTTTCTTTCTTTCTTTCTTTCTTTCTTTCTCTTTCTTGTTTACTTCTGCATCACTAAGAAAGTAATACAGCATACATCAAAATTGGTCATTACCAATTTCTTTACTAAATATATATTTCTTATTCATGGATATCCCAGTTAGTTGACACATTATATAGTTTTTTCCCCCGTTTTGGTCTTCTCCCACCTACAAGCATTCAGCCTTTTTCTACCAACTCAAACATGTCAGCTGGCCCATTCTCAGTCCCACTCTATCCCTTCCTCATGCTGAGATATACTTTGGAGGCCACTATCTGAGCAGACCTCCACTTCTTTAAGACATTCCTCAGGATCTTCTACCACTTAAACTCCCAGGGTCATTTTTTCGTCTTGCGCCAACTCCTCATCCTCCCATCCCGCCACTTTATATATGGGATTAGTTCTTTTATTTCTTTCTCTGCCAACATCTACTCCTCCATGTTCCTCTTTCTCCATGTCTGTAGGGGGCCAAACACAAGGCTCCCAGCTTCTCTGCTTCCATGGCGTTTCTAAGAGAAGGACACCTCCTCCATCCCCAAATCCAGCTTCATGTGGGGAGGGGGGTGTTATTCTAATACAAATCGGAATATAGATGTAAACAAACAAAGCAAGCTAAACCACAAATCCTAAGCGCTGAACAAGCCACAAATTGTCTAGAAATAGGGGAGGTACTAATGGTGTTTTCTCCAGCTTTGCTATAACGTAGGTAAGACTAGCCCTTACTCTTCTACTCGAGAGGCTGTCAGGTGGCTTCCGTGTGTTCAGTTTGCCCATCAGCCTACTTGGTCCCTTCGGAGGGGCTTGCAGCACCTCTGCTTCTGAGGAGATTTTTCTCTCAGGGGCTTCCTTTTCCATCTCCCTGGGCCTGGGACAACCGGTCATGCCTCTGGCGTTTATTTCAAGACATTCTGCAGCTGTCTTTGAACTGCCAGAGTCTGCACCAGGATCACAATCAATAAGTAAGTAGAGTGTGTTTGTGGGTCGTTCCCACATTTTCTGCCCTGGGCTTTAGGTCATCCAGCACAGACTGGAGTTGGTCCTCTTTGTCCTTTTTCAAGGTCTTTTTGGTTCTGGTCCCCAGAAATCTATTTTCTGTTCTGTTCTCTTTAGTTTGCCCTAAACATATTTCATGAGTGAGCCCAGTTATGAAGTCTGCTTGTATGCTTCGGTGAGGCTCAGCTTCTTCACTAACGTCAGTTCCTTTTAATCTCGCCAAAAGAATTTTGTTTGGACCTATTACAGAATCCAAGAACATCCTCTTTTATAGGCTGAGATTCAGCTTTTGCTTCTTTGGCTCACTTGTAAAATAGAAATGGCTACTCTTACCCTGTATTCTAGAAAGAGCCTCTGTTTCCCTCTCTTGGCAGCATGACTGACTTTCTCTGTCATGCTTTCCTAGACCAGCCCCATCTTTCTCCTTCTCAGAACTTTTTTATATTTTTCCAGGAAGGAAGTTGGAGAATCTGGTTAAAAGAAAGAATGTTGCAAATAGAGGAAGAGTGTACATTGAGAAACATTAATAAATTAACATTCCTAGTTCATAATCTCTTCCCTCTCTCCAAGTGAATGCCTTAAACGAATACTTCTCACACTGGCACTCCTATTGACAAGAAGAGAGAAAGTGCAACCAGAGAGTCTGAACGTGTAGCAGGAGGTTAGAGGCCTCAGACTACTTGAAGGCCAAGCCCTCCCTGTCCTTTAGCAATATCATTTAATTGATTTACACTCCTGACCCAAGTTCAACAGGATATGACTCATCCTCCCGCCCACATAAGGGCTTACATGCATGCACCCTGAGAAGGCTCCGTAGCTCGTCTGGGCTAAGGAAAGTCCATGTTATCCACCTTGACTTTTCCTGATATATACGTATATCAACATACATAATAATTTACTAATATTCCTGAATCTATACTAACAAAATAAAAACCCAGCTCCTCATAGAAGTCAATCAGTTGTGAAATATTCTTACTGTTATTTATACCAGAGGTTATAAAATAACAGTATTAGTTGCCCCTAATTGTTATGACTTTCCTTTAAATCAGTGATTCTCTAGTGGAGTGACTTTGCTCCCCAAGTGACACCTGGTAATGCTTGGATATATTTGTGGTTGTCACAACAGGGGAAAGGGATGCTATTGACATCTAGTGCGTAGAGGCCAGATATACTATTACGCATCCTATAATGCACAAGACAACCCCGCAACAAAGAATTATCCAGACCAAAGTATAGATAGTGCTGAGGTTGAGAAACCTTGCTTTAAGTTTTGAAATATTATTTTACTCATATTCTTCACCAGTTTTCTACTCTATTTTATGATGTTTTTCATAGTTAATGATACATTTTAATATGACTGTTATTTATTTTTATTTATATACCAATTTCTATGAGAAAATTTGCCAAAGCTATTTTTACAGATTTGTATTCACTAAACAAAAATAATTTAGTTATTCTTGGATCTAGAAACATTATTACATTTAAACTAAGAATCTCCATTTTATATTTTACAAAAGAATCACATGTATTAAAAAACAAACCAAATTATTCTGGAGTATGCTTGACACATAAAAATACGTTAAAGCTTTAATGAAAAGATCTTTAAGAAGTAGTTTGGTTCGGAAACTTCAAGGTAGCTAACAGATAAGATTTCTGTGCCCAAGGAAACACTACTTGTTTTTGATGCCTGTAGAAGACAAATGGTGAAAATAATGCTTTCATTTGGCCTTTTCCCTGTTTTATTTCCAAATGTGACCTTGTTTCATTCTCTTGCTTTAAAGCAAATACGGAATAAGAAGATACCAATTATTTACTATTTGGTAGCTGATTTGAAGGTTTAAAGGCGAATTTCTAACTAAACAGATGGGCCTTAAACTTGTTTTACAAAATTTGTATTTTACCAAATGGGAATCATTAGAGGTAAATAATCACTTAGCCAGTGCATATATTTAGAAAGAAGTTTCTCTTCTCTTTTTGCAAAGACCTGTCATGTGACAGTGCTCCACATCTTGCACATGAATTTAAAAAGACTACTATTTCAGTTTGAATTACTGTCACTTGTTGTATATAAAATTCTCTTTAGTTTACAACACACGTGAATGCCAGATGCATTTGGATTTTCACATGAATCACATCTTCTCACTTGTCTTTCCACAACTCTGAAATGTGTCAGTATACATATTAATCCCATTGCATATATTTATTTACTATGCTGTACTACACTCACATTTTTTAAATGTGCAGCATTTCCCATTGGAGGTTAATGACAAAAAGAAATTGTTCTGCATTTTTCTAAGAGCTGTGCCCCCCCAACACTGACCTTTTAGTGTGCTTGTTAGTGGGTTGTTAACATACTAGAACCATACTGTGCAGTGAAATATAATGCAAGCCACAAATATAATTTAAGTTTTTCTAGTAACCACATCAAAAGAAGACAGAAGACATGGGTGAAATTAATACATAATAGTAATATATTTTACTCAATCCATCATATATCTAAAGTGTTATCATTTCAACATACAATCAATGTAAAAAGTTATTAATGAAATAATGAGATATTTTCCATTTCTTTTCATACTAAGTCCTCAAAATCTGGTGTGTATTTACACTTACAACATATCTCCCAATTTGGAAGCCAAGTAGTCACTGGAAATACTTGACCTGTGTTTAGATGTCATAAAATTTACAGTTTAAAAAAGTAGATTTACAGGGGCTCCTGGTTGGCTCAGTCGGTAGAGCATGCAACTCTCGATCTTGAGGTTGTGAATTTGAGCCCCGTGTTGGGGGTCGAGTTTTTAAAAAAAGGTAGATTTACGTACCTAAGTTGTTTCAAAGAAACTTGAGAGTGTTTTAGTCAATCAGGTACCAAAGAGTCACTTTCCTAAATATTTGCATCCACAGTGACAAATAATTAATTTGGCTTTTATGCAAAAGCATGCCAATTTTAAGGCTACATCTAAGTTAAACAAATTCACTAATCTGTGTCAACTCAGTATTATTAACATTGAATTCAAAGGGATATTGCATAGGTCAAAAAACAACTCTCAATTTATCTATATCAACAAAGCTTTTCTCATACTTTTATAGTCAATTTACATAATTCTGTCAATTATAATTAAAATCTTTTGCATATTCATTCATGTTAGAAAATGTGTCAAATCATTATTATTGATTTATATTATGAAAAGTTTCAATTTTGACATAAATTCTCTTACCAGGATAGCTAGATCACAAATAAGCTTTTTTTTCCTTAGTGACATGATATCTCCAAATATCAGTCTTATAGGTATTCTTTTCTAATAACAGTAAAGAAATAAACTATTATTATCACATTTTACAGAATTTTAATTAACCCTAGTCCATGGTGACTCTGCATTTCAAATTGGCCCGGAGCTAGGCCCTTTTTATACTCCCCTTCCCTGACTGAAGGAAGACCTAGTTGCCCACATGCAGCTTCACGTGGTGGCAAATTTGCAAGGCAGGGAGCCCAGATGGCGCCTTCTTCAATTGGCCAAAGTAATGGATGACATTCACATCAAGTCAACTTGTTTTTCTACTTGCAAATCTATTGTTTCACATTTCTTTTGTTTATTTTGAAATTTTAGGCTCATCTGAAAAATCCCCACTGTTTGAAACAGGGACTTTATCCAAACACACCTTTATCCAAACAAGTTTATTAAATCACCTATTGGAATATATTTATCCTCTTATTTCCAAGTCAGTCCAGGAACTTCTGGGGCTAAAGTATTACAGTGAGGGGGGCACCTGGGTGGCTCAGTTGGTTAAGCGACTGCCTTCGGCTCAGGTCATGATCCTGGAGTCCCTGGATCAAGTCCCGCATCGGGCTCCCTGCTTGGCAGGGAGTCTCCTTCTCCCTCTGACCCTCCCCCCTCTAATGTGCTCTCTCTCATTCTCTCTCTCTCAAATAAATAAATAAAATCTTAAAAAAAAAAAAGTATTACAGCGAGGTCCTTCCCCAAACCCAGGTCTCTAGGTCTCCCGGAAAATGTATAAATTTAAGGCTTTGGTTAAAAAAAAAAAAAAAGTTTCTCTGGGAACTCATATGTCCTATACTGTCTGCATAATTATATTTCTAGGCTCTGTGAATTTTGGGGTAAGAATTAATGAATCAGAAAACATATGCCCAGGGTGCCTGGGTGGCTCAGTCGTTAAGCGTCTGCCTTCAGCTCAGGTCATGATCCCAGGGTCCTGGGATCGAGTCCCACATCGGGCTCCCTCCTCGAGGAGAAGCCTGCTTCTCCCTCTTCCACTCCCGCTGCTTGTGTTCCTGCTCTCGCTATCTCTGTCTCTGTCAAATAAATAAATAAAATCTTTAAAAAAAAAAAAAGAAAAGAAAACATATGCCCAAAGCTTGTACATGAAATTTTATAGCAGTGTTATTCATAATGGCCAAAAAGAAGAAACATCAAATGTCCAGCAACTGATGAACTAATAAACAAAAATGTGGTATATTCATACAATTAAATATTATCCATCACCAAAAAGGAATAAAATATTGATCCATGCTGTAACATGGATGAACCTTGGAAGCATTATGCTGAGTGAAAGAAGCCAGTCGCAAAGACTATGACCAGAATGGGTAGTTCCATAGAGACAGAACGTACGTTCGTAGTTGCCAGAGACTAGGAGGATGGAAAATGGGAAGTGACTACTGATGGGTTTTCGGTTTATTTTGGTTGTGATGAAAATGTTCTGGAATTAGTAGTGATGCCTGCACAACTTCATGAACATACTAAGTCCACTGAATTACATACTGTAAATGGGTGAATATTATGGTACGTGGATTATATATAAATCTGTTATTGATATATACAGAGTTATTAAACAAATGATTTTTAAAGATGTCCGTAGTGTTTCCTACAGCCTTTATTAGCAGAGAAACCTCCTGCCCTCGTAACACCCCACCTTGTCTTTGCCAATAAACTACAGGGCTGTTTCACTAATGTTGCATGAAACAAATTATTTTTGCATTTTGAATGTTCCAAAAGACCTGGATTTGTCTTTTCTAAAATCTGCCACTTGTAAGCTCTGTGACTCTGGACCAAGTCTGGCCCTCAATTTCCTCATCTACTAAAAGTGGCAATGGATTTGATGACCTGGGTCAGGTACATTTAATAAATATTAGTTTCCCTGTATAAGTGAGTAGAAGAAACCTGGTGATTTGAAAGGACTCTGCCATAACCTCTCTCCCAGAGAATAGCCAAGTACTGCTGGAGAAAATCACTCATCGGGTCATGGTCACAAATCTCAAATGAGTACTCAACACTGCCAGGAATCCTCTTCTGTTGCTCCAATCAGCTAATTATCCATTTCATTGCAGGCCATTTCAAACCTTCTCCACTCTCAAAAATCACTCCCATGAGCACGCCTGGGTGACTCAGTCAGTTAAGCATCTGCCTTTGGCTCAGGTCATGATCCCAGGGTCCGGGATCGAGCCTGCATCAGGCTCCCACTTAGCAGGGAGTCTGCTTCTTCCTCTGCCCCTCTTCCCCCCACCCCACCCCCATGCACGCTCTCTCTCTCCCTCTCTCTCAAATAAATAAAATCTTTCAAAAAATCATTCCCTTGCCCCTATCTCCCCTTCTCCTTCTAGCGCCATCTTTTTACTTCACAAGGAAAATAGAAGCCAACAGAGAGCCGCTGTCTTATCTCTCCATATCCAGTTGCATATACTTGTCTACATTCCATCTTCCTTCCTTCTTTCCTTTTGCTTTAGGCAATTCTTCCACCTGGGCTTTGGGACCCACTCCACCTACCTTCCCAGGAACCAACACCATTACCGTTACTCCTCCTCTCTCCTGCCTGGACCCTTTCCAACAGCTTTTAAACTTGCTCAAGCCTCTTATCAACAAAATAAAACACTGGATTCACAGGATTGCTGGTGTTTCTAGTTGCCAGATAAAGTAGGGCTATTACTGGGCAACAGTGGAGCCGTAGACCACGGTTTATAACTCACTGTGTAGGCCAGCTTTGAAATTAGATTCTTCCTGGCTATTGTCTTTAAATTGGGCATTATTGGCATTAATCCAAATTTTACACATTAATATTTTTTACATACCTTTATGATTCTCTCAGATTCACATACAGTGTGCCCGGATTTGTGTGATTAATGATTACTCCTTATCACTAGACTGTAAGCCCACTGAGAACAGAGTCTATGTAACTTCAGTGTTGAGCACATAATGAGGACTCAGCAAATATTTGTTGAGTAAATGAATGAAGGAATGAAATTCTGTAAGACAGAGCCAACCAAGGACTCGACACCAGTTAATCTGGAATTAGGCTGGTTCATAGATGTTAAATGTTTTTAAATATATTGTAATCATGATATCCAAATGTGAGCACTGGACCTGTTTGATGTTTTTATGTAGGCCATGGAAGCAGGACTCTCAGAGGTGAAAAGTGAGTTACAGTCACGTGATGATCTCTTGAGAATTATAGAAATGGAACGATTGCAGCTGCACAGAGAATTATTAAAAATAGGAGAGTGCCAAAATACTCAAGAAAGTAAAAAAAGGTATATTCTTATTCTCAGCAGCCTGAGAGAAACGGTTCAAGACACGATGTCTGAGTATCTTAAGAGTTTTATATTTAAAACTAGAATTAAAAGTCTATTTGTTTTGTATTAACATGCTGTTAATTATTGGATAACATTTAGTATTAAAAATAAAATCCATGATTATTTCATCTTCAAAATGAGTATGTTTACTTACCTAGATAATTGTATCATATTCTGATTTATGGATACTTATGTATCACAGTGAGTCAGATATTTTCTTGGAACTTTTATTTTTCAGGATATTGTAAAAAAATAGTATAGAGCTGATATTTAATTGTATATATTGATAAATAAGATTTATTCCATATTTTCAAATGCTTTTATTTTGACTGTCTATAAACCTGTTACTAACTTTTTCACTTGTAAATGTTGTATTTCTTTTGGTCTCCATACTCACTACCTTGTCAGTTCCATTAAGGGTTTTGTTACAACAGGTTTTTTTCCTCCTTTAAAAATCAGACAGATACTGTGTATTCCAGAACCACAGGGAAATGGGACCGCTAAGGATTATGAAATATTTATGCTTGTGAGTAGAAAGTCTGACTGTTTGAACCATTCATTGATGTTCAGATTCTCATTGGAACTTGAATCCTTCTCAGATCTCAAGCCCAATGATAGGATTTTAAAAACTGACTAACCAAATGGTAAGGGATATTTTGTTGAAAGATGATTACCTTGTTTTAAAGGCAATGATTATTTCTTTAAGTTGTAGAACCTGCTCGAATTTTTTTGAGCTCTACACTTAAACAGATGGCAAATTTAGCTTCCTAAAAATGACCTATCTTATGTCTCACCAAGAACGGTAGAATGCCTATTAGCCAGTTAGCATTATAGAGTGCTCCATATGCAAGCTATAGATCATCATCAATGATGATTAATAAATCTGGGAAAATATGAGGCGCCAGTGTGGTGAGTTGGTGAGAAATGTCTTTGTACTAAGGATGTATATGCCTAAAAACATAAGAAATTTCCTAGAAAAGCAAACTTTTCACACACTGTGTAACTGGTTTTATGGAAGAGCATTGTAGTACTTTCTGTGGATCTGTCTCACAAGGCTAGTGCTGAATTCCAGACCTTGCCAACTTTCCTTCAAGACATGACTTCATCTAAAATCTCACAGTTATTCACATATTTGGTCAATACAATTCTGTTGTTGTGCCTAATGCCGTTATTTAAGTTGGTATTTGTTTTGGTCTCCAAACTGTAGCTTTCTTATTTGGAGGGTATTCCTCAGTTCTTCTATTCTGAGATCTGATGGAAAGACAGATAATTTATCTTTTCACAGCTTCCATTGTATTTCAGACTTTGGGCCTAGTCTTCTTAGCCTTCATCTTTCCCATTGAAGGTTTCTCATCCTTTTGGTTTGTTCTCAGAAATGAAGGTGATTCTAGCCTCTTTACTGGTTGGGTTTCTTTCCTTTGGACTCTGTTTCTTCTTTCCAGTTGTATTAAGGTGAAGCAGCCCAGGCTCCTAAGTGCAGTTTTATACACGTAGCATAGTAATGCTTTTATTCATTTTCAGAACCTTTCTCAATAATGGTAAGATTTTGTTAGCTTTTCCTTTTTCTTTAGCTACAGAAGCACTTTGGGCTGATACGTTCTGAGAATTATTAAAAATAATTCCAACATTCCTTTCCTACATGACAAATGATAATTCCTTTATATATTATTATTAGCATGTTATATTAGCATAATTATTGTTTTCTCCTTTGAACTTGTCCACATTGACATTTGACATTTGTTCCAGTTGCTCAGTGAAATTTACGAGACCATCATGAGGTTGTTTTTGTTGTTGTTGTTCTTTTGTTTTTTTCCCAATCAGTTCAGCATTCCACTCCCTGAAATTGCTTAGGAAGAATTGAAAAATAGGAAATGTCATTTTTCACCCCTTTCAAATAAAAGCAAATAAGAAAAATTTAAGACTGATTCTGAAATAATGTTGGAGGAGAATATTGGATACAATGCTCACACTATATTACTGAGTAGGAAACAAAAGGGGACTGAAAAATAATGTGTACTATATATTCTAACTGTATAGGAAACATGCATTTATACACACATACATAGAAAAAAAGACAATTAATATACACAAAAATGCCAACAATGCTTTTTCCCCGATGATAACATTATAGCAGCATATACTCTGATACACTCTGTTTTCTACAGTTAACACATGTATTTGATAATCAGAAGAAAGGCAACCTGGTCTAGATACAAGTACCTCAAGATATCACTATAAATTTACACCTTTTAAAAGATCCCTTCATTTTCAATGTTTACATCAGTTATTTCTCTATCATTGCTCAGATTTTGTTTTGTGTGGTTTAAGTTTGTGATTTATGGAACCTTTTAAAAAGTTCTTTGGAAATCTGAACTTGTATTCACTTACAGGTAGGCACATTCCTCAAAACGCCAGACTTGACCAGATTAGTCAAGCAATAGAAAGCATGCTACTGTCCTTGCCTGGCTATCTTTATTTTCTGTTTTAATGATTTTTCATTTATCAGCTTTCCTGATCTAGAAGTGAACCTGCTTGTACTTCTCCAAACTTCCTGTAGAAATTGTACTTTTTATACTAGTTTCTGCTTTTCCCCTCTGGTATCCATATGTGATGGCAATTCCACTTTATAAGTTAAGCAGCCAAAGAACAGATGTATTTGAGCTTTCTGTGGGTAGACTGTCAGATTTAGTCACTTTGGGTCACTTTTATGGAGTAGTTGCTCCCCTCAGACTTCTCCTAACATGGTTCCTTTCCATGGTACAAGCAAGTTAGATGTGTTTCCTTTTTTTTTAAGGGGTTCCCAAGCTATCTTATTATAGGAAACAGTCTTCTTATATAAAAATCTTATCTACATATGCAAACCCAGTATTCTGCCAATTTTCAAGACATAATTGAAATTCCATATTAATTGTTACCTTTTTTTTTTTCACTCAAACTGTTTGTACTCAGTTAAATATGTAAATACTTAGGGGATCTGAATGTATTAGAATTTGCAATCTGGAACTAGAAATGTTTCCAATAAACTAATAATCTATCTCTGCAACCTACAATAGTGTAAATTAACAATATAATCATGAGAGTTTACCAAGTCAAGGTTAATTTTTATTCACATTATTTAATTTGTAGACTTGAATCATCTTATTCACCTTCTACTAAAGAACCAGAAAGGAAAAGGAAAGAGCTGTTTTCAGTGACCCTAGATCAACCAAATCATGAAAAAGAATTGAACAAGGTATGGAAAATAATGGGCTTCATTCTTCCAGGCAGATCTGAAGTCCCTGAACACAAACGGAGGAAAAAAACCTTCCTTCTCATTCCCTTCTTTTCCCTTCTATATTTTCCCCTAAGATAATAACCTACCAGGCTGCTAATTCCGACATTCTTCTGCGTGATGCTGTAACAAACACAAACCTTAGGTCTTCATTGTGCCACTGGGAGACTGTGGCTTCATTGCAAGTAGCTTATGGCAAGAAGTGTGAGAGCCCAGACTCAGGCCTCCAACCATCTAGTAGGTACCTAAGCTCGGGGAAGTTGCTGTGCAAGTTGCTCAGGCTCCTCATTTCTAGAATGGGAGTGGGATCCTTAGCACTTGCCTCAAACAACTGTGATGAGGCTTTTATAAAGGGGATACCAATAACCCTGCTACTTAAATAGTACTCCCCATGGGCCAGGAGGGGCTCTCTGAGGGCCTAACAAATCTCAGCTCATTGATTCCTCACAACCACCCTATAAGGAAGGTACTAATATTATCTTTTTTTCCCATTTGACGACATTGAGGCACAGAGAAGTTGAGTAATTTCCCCCAATATTACACAGCTATTGGGCAGCAGAGGTCAGGTTCAGATCCAGGCAATCTGACTCCAGAGCTCATACTCTTCCCTTAAGTTAAAATCCATTTAAAAAATGCATGTAAAGAGCTTAGAACAGGGCCTGCCTAGCTCAGAGGAGGCACCTAGTGAGTGAAGGCTGCTACTGTTATTGGTTACCTTTTGTCCCTGAGCACCTAACCCATGCCAGGTAATCTGCCAGGAGCTAGGAACACAAGAATGAATAAGCCTGGGTCCTGTCCTAGAAAACCTGTGGTTTTCAACTCTCTACAAAAAGTATATTCTCTTCTCCCTCTAGCAAAATCCAGTAGGGGCTTCCTTTCCATGAGCTTATCATGGCTACTACCCACATCTCTGGTCTTTAGGTTTGAGGATCACACCTAAATATTCAATGCTATATGATCTAAACCGTTGGTAAAAGTAGGGACAACCTGGGCATGGCTTCGAATCATTATCTATCCCAGCACAGCGCCTGACATACAAAAGTGAAAATAAATATTTGGAGAACAAATGAATCAATATCAAGGTGAAGGTCTCCCATAATTGTATCGGCTCATAAATTCAGTGGCCATTTGTATAAATTCAACATATACTTATTGAGCATCTAGTAGGACTACAGCTATTCTGCTTGTTTCTGTAGGAAATGGAGTGATGCAAAAGACAAATCCTGTCTCCCACAGAGCTGTCAAGTAGCTTTAAATTAAGTGTAGAAAAGTTGTTATGAATTAATGATCATTTTCCTTTTATTTTTCACATGATCCCATGAAATTGATTTCACTGCTATTTAAACATATAACTTTAAAAAACTCTTTTGTTTGCTGGTATCCCCAATGAAGGCATTATGATACAAAGGTTGATTAAAGCCACCTGAAGTATAGTTACACCGTTCTTAACCTCATAGACTCAGTAACACTTTGAATAACAAGGAATCTACTGACATCGCACAGTTTCAATATGGAAGGAGAGAATACTAGGCACAAATTCTCTTCATAGGCTCTTGGAGACCTCTAGATTTCTGCTGTGCAGAAAAGGTAACAAATGAATTGTGTATAAATAGCTATAGCTCGCAGGAAGTGTTTTTGGAGAGCATTTTCGTTCTCTTGTAATAAAAGCAACAAGAACCATGTATTAGGAATCTTGCAAGTGTTTTATTTCTTTCTCTTTTTTCAGTGTAGAACTATTTTTGTCATGTACTTCGTGATAAAATTGACATTTTTAATAAAGCCAAAAGTCATTTAGAGATCGGTAAATTAATCTCATTTAGAGGGAAGCTTTGCAGTAGAGCATGTTGTTTTAATATCTAAATGCTCTGAAAGTAATAAAAACAGTTTACTCCTTTTTCATAATAGTATATTCATTTTTTTTTACATTTTGAAAGTTCCATTTTAAGGGAAACTGTTAACTACACAACAGGGATGCAATCAGCAAAATCCAAACTGGGATAAACCACAGAAGAACCCCGTTGTTTCATCAAATAAATTGTAAAGAAAAAAATCAGAGAAGACTGGAGACGAAAGGAGACTTGTAACACTGTCCTCGGGGTGAGGGTATTTTGTACTCCTCTCTCCCAGTCTTCCCTTTTGCTCCTAGGAGCTGGATAACTTGGGCCCAGTCCATTCCCTTCCCTGGGAGTCTTCTTTTTTTCTCTCTCTCTCTCATCTGTTCAATGATGGGGTTGGGGTTGGACCCTAAGGTCATGTCCAACTCTGAAACTTTTTTTTTTTTTTAAGGGGCAGAGGGAGAGGCAGGGGGAGAGGGAGAAAGAGAATCTTAAGCAAGCTCCACGCCCAGTGCAGAGCCCAACATGAGGCTCGATCTCACGACCCTGAGGTCATGACCTGAGCCAAAATCAAGAGTCAGATGCTTAACCAACTGAGTCACCCAGGCGCCCCCCCAACTCTGAAACTCTAAAAATATTAATAATAGGAATAGAAGCACATGAGGGGTTGGTGGTATAGAGTTGAGGACAGATCAGGTTTTCCTTCGGGACATGCATCCTTTCCACATTAGGTCATCCCACGCTAGCTTTTTCCACTGTGTGAACAACCTTCCAGAGTTTGGCTCATAGGGGTTACATAGCACGGTGGGTAAGGTCTTGGAATCAGACTGCCTATCGCCAGGAATGTGACTGTGAAAAGTTACGTACTTAACTTCTCATTCTGCAAAATAGAGAACTGTTGCTGGGATTAAATGAGATGATGTATGTAGACTACATAGAACACGCACAAACACACACAAAAGAGGAGCTTTATAAAGATATGAGCCAGTCCCCATATTTAGATCCCAATTCAGATAAACAAAAAACATTCATTATAGTCCTGATACATTTTTAAATTTGAATACTTCCTGGATATTTGATGATATTGAGGAATTGCTAATATTTTTAAGATCTTATATTGGTGTTCTGGCTACGTTAAAAAAGAAAGAGTGCCCTTATTCTTTTACAGATAGATCCTGAAATCTTTAAAGATTAAATGAAAAAAAAATCAATTTTAGAAGTAAGTGCCCTGAGGAAATTCATTTAAATCTCTTCATGGATGGGCTCCGTTAAACTCTCCAGCCTTATTTCTCACAACACGCCACGTCCCAGACACCCGAGACTCGTCTTGCTTCACTGGGTGTGCATTCTTTCACCCCCAGAGTCTTCCCTGCACTCGTTGCCCTGGGTCCTTCTCCATCCCTGCCTTCCATCTGGCTTCCATTCGTCCTTCAGTATTTGTCTGATGTCCACCCCCCCTCTGGGAAGCCCATCCTGACATCCCCAGGCTGGGTTAAACACCCCTCCCCCACATACCGCTGACGTGGATTGCTACTCTGTGTTGTAACTGTTGATTTTTGTTTCCCCCAATGGACTATGATTTTCTTGAGATTGCTGACTATTCACTTTATCTTCAAATCTCAAGAATTAGAGACAGTGAATGATTTCTAGAAAGGTGGTAAGAGGCTGGATCAAGACAGTAGTAGTAGAAATGGAGAGCAGAGGAGAGATTTAGAAGACGTTGAAGTGCAAGGGACAGAATTTGCTGCCTGACTGCATTTGGCACAACAAGGGTAGGGAGGAGCCCAAGGTGATCCAGAGGTTGCTGACAGGGAAGGCCTAACCTGGTTAAGAACAAGAGACTCCACAGGAGGGAGGTGATGCATTTTCAGACACACATTAAGTTTGAAATTTATTATAACATGATTCTGAAAAACATACTGTTTAGTCATAAACAGTACACACAAGTTAGTCAAAAAGGCACTGAATTTAAAGCTAAGAGTCCTAGGTGCTAGTCCCAGCTCTGCCAGTTAATAGCTTTATGACCTTGAGCAAGTCACTTAACCTTTCTCGGCCAGTTTTTTCTCCCTAAAAACATGCTTGGTCCGTCCGCCTCTGGTTAGTGGGTCTAAGGCTTTTCCACCACGCATTCTACAGTGGTCGTTTGACGGGTATGAAGTTCCAGCACAGTGTCTATAGTTGACACTTAAAATTTTAAGAGGGTAGATCCCATGTTAAGTGTTCTTACCACACACACACACAAATGTAAAGCAAAAAAAGGAACACAAGAAACTTTTGGAGGTAATGGGTATGATTATTATATTGATTGTGGTGATAGTAACATGAGTGTATGTCCAAATTCACCAAACTGTCTACGATAATTATGTGCAGTTTTTGTATACTAATGATCCCTCAGTTATGCTGGGAGGTAAGTGCTTGATAATATTTTCTTCACCTTCCTGTCAAAGTAGTTATCAAAGTAGCATCAGTAGTAAGTGACGATTTGCATCCAATAGAAAATAGAAGTGAGAAATGGAATTTTGAATTTGAAAGGAAAAAAGTTAAATGAGTCATTTATTGTAAGTATCTGTTTTTAATTCAGCACTGATCGGAAAAGGAGGGTAAAGTGGGGCCTGCCAAAGGACAGGAAGACTGAACACAAGCTTTAAGCTGCTTGATAAATAAAAAGATTTGTTAATATTTGCCGGAATGTCTCTGCTGCAGATAAGAAGCCAACTCTATCAGGAGGAAGAGTACCATGGCTCTGAGCAGGAAAGAATGAGGAACGAAATCTCTGACCTAACAGAGGAGCTTCATCAGAAGGAGATCACTATAGCAACTATCATGAAGAAAGCTGCCCTTCTGGAAAGACAGTTAAAAATGGAGTTAGAAATAAAAGAAAAAATGTTAGCAAAACAACAGGTACGCAAGCGGGCAGGACCACCCTTGTCCGGGTCACTGTCTTGCCCAGTGCAGACCGTGGTTTTCCTCGATGACCAGCAAAGCACTGCATTTCTCAGTGTTCAGTCTGAGACTAGCCTCACAGAAATGCTTGCTGGAGCCACATAAAGCCTTTACAAAATAATGCAAAGTGTCATCAAAACAGAACGAGGGCAAAAGTGACGACACAAGATAATTGCATTAAATCTCATCCTAACATTTCCTTGTGAACCATATTTTGATCACCTCCCACAGTATGCTCTAGTCAAAGATTTCTTCTTGAATTGGTGTCCTGTAGTTCCACTAATATTTTTGTCTTAAAAAAAAGCCTCTATTCCAGCTTTTTGTGGATACTTCTCACCCCAATTTTATGTATGTATTTTGGGATTTTTTTTTTAAGATTTTATTTATTTGAGAGAGAGAGAGCATGAGAGCAGGTTGAGGGGCAGAGGGAGAAGCAGGCTCCCCGCTGAGCAAGGAGCCTGATATGGGGCTCCATCCCAAAACTCCAGGATCATGACCTGAGCAGAAAACAGATGCTTAACCGACTGAGCCACCCAGGCACCCCATATCTTGGGGTTTTAAAAAAGGATGTTGAAGCATGAAAATTAGTCCATATTTACTGAACATTGACTCAATGCACAGCATGGTTCATGGTAAAAAAAACAGCAATTATACCATTCTGCTGTTAAAATCCTGCAAGTAACTTCAAAGTCCTCCCTCCCTTCCTTTTTTCCTCCTTCCTCCCTTCCTTTCTTCCTATTTCTTTTGAAATTCCCTCAGTCCCTTACTCATCATCAAATTGGTGACCTGTTATTAAAAGCATAGGGGTTATCTGTTTTTGTTTTTTTTTTCTCTCCAAATCGAGAGGCTTTGAGAGCACCATTCTATAACTTTCTAGGCATTTGAGGGTCACTTCACCAAAAAGATGGCTATTTAAACCCTGTGTATTATAAAAACCTTTGTCTAATTATAAACCTTAAACTGTGATTAATTTGTACAGTACACAGGAACACAGCATAGATGGGATAATATCATAGGCTGTACCTGTGTAGGAAAAGAGACTTTTTAAAATATTTTATTTATTATTTATTTGACAGAGAGGGAGACAGCAAGAGAGGGAACCCAAGCAGGGGGAGTGGGAGAGGGAGAAGCAGGCTTCCCGCCGAGCAGGGAGCCCGATGCGGGGCTCGATTCCAAGACCCTGGGATCATGACCTGAGCCAAAGGCAGACGCTTAACCACTCACCCACCCAGGCACCCCTGAGAAAAGATATTGAGAGGTGTTAGCAATGATGCGGAGTTGGATTATGGATGATTCTTATTTTCATCTTTATATTTTTCTATGTTTTTAGATTTTTGTTAAGGAGAATATATTTTATAATCTATGAAAGTAAGTCATTTCAAGGGAAGTGTTTTATATAGAAATGAGGCCTATATGATAAAAGAGCAGATACTATGTCTAAGTACTGTCAAATAGAAGAAATCAGGGAAAAATAAATACATTAGACGAAATGAAATAGTCACCAAAAAGAAAGAGGGTAGCTTGGCAGACATATTAGAAAGAACAAAATTAAATATAAAAGTTACATTTGCATATTGTAAAAATTAATTAGGTAGTGAATAACTCCATGGGCAGTGTTATTGGAGCGTTTTTTTTAAATTGTGATTTTTCAGGGCGCCTGGGTGGCTCAGTCCTTAAGCCTTTGCCTTCGGCTCAGGTCATGATCCCAGGGTCCTGGGATCTAGCCCCACATCAGGCTCCCCGCTCAACAGGAAGCCTGCTTCTCCCTCTCCCACTCCCACTGCTTGTGTTCCGTCTCTCACTGTGTCTCTCTCTGTCAAATAAATAAATAAAATTTTTAAAAAATAAAAATAAGTTGTGATTTTTCTGGTGCTTATTTGCATACAGTAGAAAATAGAAGTGAGAAATGGAATTTTAGAATTGGAAAGAAAAAAGTAAATGAGTCGTTATTGTCAATATGTATTTTTAATTTAGCACTGATCAGGAAAGGAGGGTTAAGTGAGGGCTGCCAAAGAGAGAACTGAATGCAAATACTGATTTAGGATGATCTGCCTAATCAGTGTTTCTCTTCACTACACTTAGAAAACATTTAGGTTAATAAAATTAATTTTAATACAATTGTGAGCTCTTATTATGTATTTTACACTCACTTTTACCTACCGATCTGCTTTCAGGTCTCAGATATGAGATACAAAGCTGTCCGAACGGAAAACACACACCTGAAAGGAATGATGGGAGATTTAGACCCCGGACGGTACATGGTAATAACGCTGAATTCATTCAGTAAATCGAACCGAGAGATTACAGAGTTAGTCAGGATTTACCCAGACCTTATTTACTAAGCATTTCCTGTGTGTCAGGCAGGCAGGGGTTGGGCAGCAAATTATCTTGCACTTGGATTAAACTTAATTTTTATCCTCAGCCTGGAACATTTGAATTTCGAGTTTTCTCCTTTGCTCTTTTCTTGGATTGGGCTAAATTCTGATCGTTTCCTCCAACATGCTACATGCTTGCTTTTGCTCCTGCTGTTATCTCTGAAATCCTGCATCTTACATAGCCTGACTCACATGTCAGCCTTACCCTTGATGAAGCCACCCCTGAAACCCCAGTCAGAGTGAACTGGTCCATCCACACTTGGTTTGTATTTTGGTCTCACTTGTTTGGTAGCCTGTCACTTCCCGACTGGATGGTGAACAGGGACCACGTTTTATTCATGTTTGTCGCACCAGCACCTCAAAATGTCAGGGGTATAGTAGGTATTCACTGGATGTTGATTGAATATAAGGGAGGATGAACAAATGAATGACTGAGGATTGACCTTGTGGTTTGAACCAGTGGCTCTATAGATTAACACAGGGCAGCTAAAACAGGCTCTGTGCCTTTCATTTCCCTTGTTCAATATAGCCCTTGAAGGTGGTTTTTTATATGTAAATAGAACTTTTATTTATCAAACTAAGGAAATACCATTGTTACTTCTTTAGCATTTATTTGCTCTGAGAGAAAATTCTAAAATAAAATAATGTCCCTGCCATTGAGAGAATGGAGTGGATAAAAGATGAGCATGGGTGGCCAGTTCAGTTTCCTCAGCTATGACGTGAGGAAGTTGGAGTTGGGGTTCTCCATGATGCTGTATTTCTGTGAGAGTAGGTTCTCGTTCCCATAATGGTAAGTGTTCTAGCATCAGAGAGTTAGAAGCATTCTTCAAGCATTCTGCCTTCTTTGGCCCTGGTGACAGATTCTGTGATCAGAGGACAGATGGATAAAAAGGAAAGTATATATGGTTTCCCTATCTGTTACATAAAATCTGTGTGACATTTAGGACTCTTATTTCTAAAGGCTTGACACACAAAAATTTAAATTGGGTCCTGCCCCCATGAGTATCTTTTTTTTCCTTCTCACAAAATGATTTTTGTGTTATTTTTCTTTTTATTTCAAACTAAATGTTTTTCGGTGTGAATTCTGCGTCATCACAGCCCACACTGAGCCTGCTTCACACTGGCTTGGATAGGCATTTGGCTTTCTTCATTGATTTGTTTTTTTCAAGAAATAAAACACATAAAGATATGTAAAGAAGCTAATTATCCCACTGCTATCTCCAATCCCAGGTTGGACTCCAGAGATATCCAGTGCTAACAAACTAGTGTGTAGCCTTCTATAACTTTTTTCTGGCTCGTGCACACATATAGAAGGGATGAGCTGAGTGTCCCTTTATGGAAATAGGTGTATAATAAGTACATTATTCTCAACTGCTTTTTAACTATATATCATGGACATCTCTAGAAGACAGGAGGAAAACATCTTTTTTTCCCTCATTTCTTAGGAAAATCAATATATACTTATGTAGAATATAGAATTTTTAATAAATTGCATCACAACTAATACTAGTGATTTTCATGCAGTCTCTTTTTTCTTGCTTTTCCCTTTCTCCTTTGCTCTGTTTCTCTACCCACCTCATACCCCATCTACCAGATAACACAGGTTAACTATTCAGTATGTGTCATTTTGTACTTTTTCATATCTATGAACTCGTGTGTGTGTGTGTGTGAATATATATACACATAGGTATGTAGTCATATACCTATTTTGGGGTTTTAACTTTTTTAAAAATTGGATTACATTATACACACTTTTCTGTGTTTTGTTTTTGTTCACTCAGCAATATCCTTTGCAAATCCTTACAAATCAACTTGTTTAGGTCTATTTCATTTTGTATAATGGCTTAATAATAACCCATGATGTAAATGTATCAAAATTTATTCAACTGTTTTTCAGAACCAATTCGTTTGAAATTAATTCAACTCTTTCTAGATTTTTGCACAAATAAATAATACTGTAAAAAACATCCTCATACATCTATCTTGGAACAGCTTCCTAAGAATGGAATTACTGGGGGCATCTAGGTAGCTCAGTCGGTTAAGCGTCCAACTCTTGATTTGGGCTCAGGTCATGATCTCAGGGTCGTGAGATCGAGCCCCAGGATCTACACTGGATGTGGAACCTGCTTAAGATTCTCTCCCTCTGCCAGCCCACCCTCTCTCAGCCTTTATTAAAAAAAAAAAAAAAAAAAAAAGGAATTGCTGAATGAAAACATAAGCGTTTTTTTAAGATTTATTTGTTGGAGAGAGCACACAGGCAGGAGGGGCTGAGGGAGAGAGAATCTGAAGCAGACTCCGTGCTGAGTGTGGAGCCCCTTGTGAGGCTTGATCCCATGACGGAGATCACAAAGAGCCAAAACTGAGAATCGGATGCTTAACCAACTGCGCCACCCAGGTGCCCCTGAATGCTTTAATTTTAAAACATTTGTTGTCAAATCATATTTCTCCCGTCTCTGTATGTGCGCACCTTTTTCTTTCCTCCTTAGCAGCAAGAGGTTTTATTACTCTTTTAGATTTTTGTCAGTCTGATGGGTGTAAAGTGATTTCTCAGTAGTACTTTAATTTCTACTTCCCTGGCTACAGTGAGTATATTTTTGTATATTTATTGGCAGTGGACTATGAATTATATTCTTTGCTCATTTTTCTATTAGGATGTTTTTTTCTTGTCAGTTTACAACAGCAATTTCCTGAATTTATTGTCTGTAATTCTATTTATATCTTTTTACCATAGGAAAAGTTTTCAACTTTTGTCAGGGCACCTGGGTAGCTCAGTTGTTTAAATGTCTGCCTTTGGCTCAGGTCATGATCTCGGGGTCCTGGGATCGAGCCCCGCATCAGGCTCCCTGCTTGGCGGGAGCCTGCTTTTCCCGCTGCTTCTACCTGCTATTCCCCCTGCTTGTGCTCTCTCTCTCTGTCAAATAAATAAATAAAACCTTAAAAAAACACTTTCATCTGTCAGACACATGTATCTGTTTACAGCTTCTGAATTTTCTTCCTGGAATAACATGGTTTTTCCAACTTCTTGACAGTATACACTGTTTGTTAGAGTGTCTTCAATGAATTTTACATTTTTTCATCTAAGTCTTTAATCCATTTGAATTATAATTTTACATATGATATAAAACAAAAACCTGATTTAAATTTTTATATGAAAGTTAAGTTCAATTTATCCAGTTTCTCCAGATAATTTCCTGTTGGGTTTTATTTGGAATCAAAATAAATTTACATATAATTTTGAAAGAACTGACACTTTTGGGATGCCTGGGTGGCTCAGTCGGTTAAGTGTCTGCCTTCGGCTCAGGTCATGATCCCAGGGTCCTGACCCTGCATTGGGCTCCTTGCTCAGTGGGGAACCTGCTTCTCCCTCTGCCTGCTGCTCCCCCTGCTTGTGCTCGGTGTCTGTCTCTCTTTCTCTCTCTCTGTGACAAATAAATAAAATCTTAAAAAATAAAAAGAATTGACACTTTTATAATAGTAAGTTTTCTCAGTCCAAGAATATGACATGGCTTTCCATTTCTTCATATCTCAGTTTATGCTCTTCAATAAGATCTTACAATTTTCTTTGTATAGGTTCTGTGCCTTCTTTTTAAAATTTATGCTTCGGTGTTTTATAATTCTTGTCACTGTTACAAGTGGAATATTTTCCTCTTTCCATATAAGAACTTATTGCTAATATAGTAAAAAAGCCAGACTGTCTTTTAATTCTAGTGGGCATTTTATTAGGGGTTCTTAGGGTTTTTTGAGATATACAGTCATTTTAACAAAAATAGATAACTTCAACTCTTTTTTTCTACTGTTCATATCAGTTATTTTTTGCCATACTGCATTTGCTTAAACCAAGAGAATATGAAATAATAATAGTGATTACTGACAAAACTGTCTAATTTCTGACTTTAGATGAAATTGTTTTAGAGTTTTACTTTTTAGAATAATATTTGTTCTTGGATTGTGGTTTTAATTCTTTTTATTCCTAGTATACTCAGAGTCTTTAAGATTTGCTGCTGGCTTTTATCAAATACCTTTTCAGCATAGATGACACCATGTGGGTTTTGTCTGTTGATTTGTTGATGTGTAATAGACTATGGTTGACACATTTCCTGATACTGACCCATCGTTGAATTTTTGGAATAAATTTTCTTGGTCATTGTATTCATTTGCTTGGGCTGACATAACAAAGTACCACAAACCAGGTAACTTAGAACAATAGAAACTTCTTGTCTTACAGTTCTGGAAATAGAAGCCCCAAATCAAGGTGTCAACAGGACCATGCTGCCTCTGAAACCTGTAGAGGATGGTTCTTCCTCACCTCTTGATAGCTTCTAGTGATTTGCCAGCCATCTTTGGCAATCCATGGCTCATAGATACATCATTCCTGGCCTCTGTCTTCCCAAGGCATCCTCCTTGTATCTGTCTTCACACAGCCTGTCTCTGTTTCTCCATATCATCTTCCCACCATGTGTGTCCTTCTCTGTGTCCAGATTTCCCCTAATATTTATAGAATACCTGTCGTATTGGATTAGGGCCCACTCTAGTGACCTCACTTTCACTTGATTGCCTACGTAAAGATCCTTTTTCCAAATAAGGCCATGTCCTGAGGTACTAGGAGTTAGGACTTCAACATATCTTCTTTTTGGCGGGGGGACAAAATTCAACCCCAGTCTTACTTTAACAATTTTGACATATTCCTGGATTCTATGTGACAATAGTTTCAATACTTTCTAAATAATTTCTAAGTAAAATATCTTCTCCCCTTCTGTAGGTTGCCTCTTCACTCTCTTGATTGTTTCTTTTGTTGTGCAAGAACCTTTTTAGTTTGATGTAGGCCCACTTGTCTGCTTTTGCTTTTGTTGGCCTGCTTTGGTGTTATATACAACAAATCATCGCCAGAACCAATATCAAGTGTCTATTGACCATCTGTTTTCTTCTAGTTTCACAGTTTCAGGTCTGATACGTCAGTCTTTGATCCATTGCAAGTTAATTCTTTTATGAGTGGTAGAAGATAGAGGTCTAGTGTCATTCTTTCACCTGTGAATATCCAGTTTTCCCAACATTTATTGAAGAGACTATCCTTTCCTCACTGTGTGTTCTTGGTGCTTTTATTAAAGATTAGTTGACTATACTGTGTGGGTTTATTTCTGGGCTCTCGATTCGGTTCTCTGTCTATTGCATGCCACAGTCACCAGAGAATGTTTTCATTCATTCATTCATTCATTCACTCATTCTGTAAATATTTATTGAATATGCCTACTGTGTATCTGGCAGTATGTGAGCGTTGTGAATAAGTCAGACAAGATCCTTGAATTCGTGAAACTTAATATTAGTAGAAGGAGACCATATATTACCAGATATAGACCGTTACCTGGATAATTACACTAGGGAGTGGTAGGAAAGCTCAGAATTCAGGGACCCTGATAGAGGTTACCTAACCCTGTCTTGGGAGCAATAAAAGGCATCTGGGGAGCAGTCAACCAGACAGATTGGTGGGAAAGAATCATGGTGAGAGAACAGAATGTACAAAGACCAGGGATGAGAAAGATTCAGGGAAACTGGGAGAACTGTGTAATAACAAAGAGCTGCTACTCATTCATTGAGTGTTTATCACATACATGCCTTATAATCTGCTGAATACATATATCAGTGTCTGTCTGTATCCTTACAACGCGTATATGGTGGTTGGGTGTGACGATCTTATTTCACAGAAAAAGGAATGAAATCTTTAAGTTTTTAGGCAACTTGCCCAAGATCACATAGGTTGTAAGTTGGTTTGAATAACTCCAAATGCATGATACTAACTGTTATAATATCCTGTGGTTCTCTGTTTCTTCTGTTTTATTCACTGGCTTCTCACCCTCCTGTATCTGCCTCTACTCGTTCCCCAAATGTTGCTGTTGACTTTTGTTTCTCTGGCAATATGCTCCCCCTTAGAGGCTAGATCCATCAACCACTCCAGGTTAGTTCCTCTGCAGTACCCAGTGGCTTCCAAGCTCTCTCCACTTCTCATACACGACGTGCTTTTCTAACATAGCCTTTCCTTGTGTTATCCTTCCTTTCGGACATGTGCTCAGTTTCCAATAGGAAGTCAGAACTCTTCATATTCCATTGCTTCCTTAATCTGGCTCTCCCACTTTGTTTCCCTTTAGTGACCTACACAAATCCTCTGCTAGAGCTAGGCCTGTCTTAGCCTCATCTGTGTATGTGATGGTCCTTTCTCATGCCCTTTCTTGCTTCTAGGCCTTCACACGTGCTTTCCTTCTAGCTAAAAATTCCCTTTTCCTACTTCACGTAGCCATGCCCTATTAATGTTTCAGGTAACTCAGCATAAATTTTACATGTCATACAAAATCTTCTTTGATTTTCCTCTGCTCTGTTAAGTGTCTGTCCTTGAAACCATCATAACATCCATCATAGTACAATGGTAAAATTGCCTATTTCTTGTCAGCTACCCAACCCCTACCCAGTACGCTCATTGAGGGCAGTTATGGTCCTAGTTTACCACTGTAGCCAAGCACTTAGTACAGTGCCTGAATGCAGGAGGCAGTGAAAAAATATTTTGTTAGATGAGTGAATGAACAAATCAATGAGTGAGTGAGTGAGGGAATGAGTGAATGAATCCATTATATGCCCTCCACCTGAATGGTTTCCTTAACAAAGTAAAGACATAGTTGTACTTTATAAATCCTACCAGTCCCTTCAGACCTAGATTAAATTATATCTCTTCCATGAATTCATCTTCAATTACTCTAGGCTCCATTTACTTCTTCTTTCTTTGACTTTCTTTAACAGGTATAACAATTTAGCATCAAGTTTTGAATTGTCTTATTTTCTAATTGTTTTTGTATGTCTTGTCTCATCAGTCATAGACTCCTTGAGGGAAGAAGTGTACTATATTTTATATTTCTTTATACAGGGTTTGGCATAGGGTAAGGCTTGAATACTTGTGGATTTATGGGTCTCACCTGTATTGTAAGAGGCATGAATAAATTTTCATGGAAATTATTGCTCACATCATTAAAGAGATTGCCAGAGCTTTGTTTTATCTCACCTACATGATCTTAGTCCAGTAGTTGTTGCCATTCATTGATTCAGAAAACATTTGAGTTCAACTTGGTGTAACATAATTTAATACATAATTACACTTTATATGAGTCACTATTTTTTCATGCATGTTAATTTCGTCTACTCAGTTTTATTGTATTTTCCGTGAAGGCAGGGTCACTTTTTCATACTTGATCACCTATGTAGCACTCAGCACATATATATATGTATGTACAGTATGTATTTGTTTACAGATTGGTTAATTGGGTATCATAAAATAGAATGCCACTGATGAATGGCCCTCAGTGTGATGCCTTACTAAAATAGTATTTAATCACATACACTTTATGTAGGATTGTAATTCATACAGAAAGTTGACTTTATAATTGCTCCCTTTTATTTTTTGTACGTGAAGGTTTGGCATTGACTTTGATAATTTAAATAGTCAAGCCACGCCCCAAAGTGAAAGATCTCAAGTGTCTATTGAATTAAAAAAAGAGCAAATATAACTCATTGTTCTTTAAGAGTATGCAATCTATTATGTGACTTATCTAGCATTCATTATTTGAAAGATTTCACATTAAAGAAAACTCTTATCTGTTATGTGTTAAAATCCCATGAGATAGTTAATTCTCTCTGAAATAATTGGAATGGATAAATAAACATGGAATTAAAGAATGGGCACTGCAATTTTACCTCAAGCAATAAGAAACAAAATGTTTACATCATTATTTTTAGGCTTTTTGAAATATGTGGTATTTGGATAATATTCAAACAATAATTATTTGTTTTTCCTTTCTAGACAAACGAAATAACTGATACTAAGGTAGGTCATTTCAAAATCACTAGAACTTCGTGAATTTTCTGCTTGACTAACTTTGAAGCACCCTGCTTACTCCCACTTAGGGAAAGAAAGTTTTAAAAAGGCCCTCCCCCAGAGGTAGGAGTAAGAGTGGGTCCTGCACTCGGTTATTACCCGTTGCATGCTTGGGGCTGTGGCAGCTCGCATTTTCCTCGGCAGAATCCACTGATGAGACTAACCACCTGGTATGTAAGTTCTCCTCAGGTCTCACGAGCTGCTTAAAATAGCAACAGAAGTAGCTCTGAAGAAGATGTTTTCCTGGATTTGTGCAAGAACGATTACATAAAGACAAGTGTGAGGAGTTGACCTTTATTCTCCTCTGGGGTAGCTGTTGAAAAAATCAAGTTTATCATGATAGTTTTTTGTGATTCCATATTACCTTAGACCCATAAGTGTATTTAGTAAATTTTCCTTCATTTAAGAAAGGTATCATAAAATCAGACTTAATCAGAACTCAGAATTTATGGTAATTTTTAACTAATTTGCCCTTCACTATCCATAAAATTTGCCAAATATTAACCTAAAAAATTAGTACCCTCACAAGTATCTAATCCATGCATTTACATATTAAAAATTAATATACTAACCATAAAACATGATTAAAGCTGGTCCTTCTGTAGAAATACTTTGTTAGCCTATTATTGTTGAATATACATGAATTTAAAAGAAAAAGTGTACATATAAAGTACTATTATCCAAACACTTCAGTAACTCAACTGGCCTCATGTCAAAGCATGTAGGCACTAGGAGGTTTTGCCTTTTCAAGAATGAAGCAATGGGTTAAAACTACAAACCCCTAAAATCTGGGGGAAAAATTTGGAATAACAGGCCTATAAAATAAGCCATCAGAAATACTGAGATAGAATTTAATCAGTGCCTATTTTCACATGATAACCATCTAGTGGAGGATTATTTCCTGAAATTACTAGAAAAATATTTAAAAGAAACATGAAATGAGAAAGCCCCAAAATGTTGTTGTCAAGGAAAATAGAATATGCTTTTAAATATAAATCATGTAGATACATCACCTATGTAATTTTTTCAGGTCATGCTCACAACACTTATTTAATTATGATGCATGTAGAAAATTATGGAGTCTTTAAAAAATTATTCCTCTCATTCTTTTTTTTTTTTTAAGATTTTATTTATTTGCGAGAGAGAGAATGAGAGACAGAGAGCATGAGAGGGAGGAGGGTCAGAGGGAGAAGAAGACTCCCTGCTGAGCAGGGAGCCCGATGCGGGACTCGATTCCGGGACTCCAGGATCATGACCTGAGCCGAAGGCAGTCGCTTAACCAACTGAGCCACCCAGGCGCCCTCCTCTCATTCTTAATTACTTTAAACCAACACTGGGCCAAAAAGAATTACAGATGAAATCTAATTTTATAGAAAAAGCTTAAATAAAGTTGTAACTGAGCAGCAGACAATCAAGAATTATATATTTTGATGAATAGATTATTTTTTTTAGGAGTAAAATTTTGGATCTTTTCCATGACCTTTCTTGGCCAGATCTGCTCAAATGAGTATTTTCCTTATGAAGGGCAAAATTTTATAAGACCACCTCCTTTATATGTATTGCAAATCTGCTCTCATTTTATAATAACCAATCCTTTCTCTTGTAGCGCATAGTACAGATTACTCTTTTATCTGCACTGGAGTATCTCAAATGAGCAAATGTGAAGGCATACTTAAAGGCAAGGGCCTACCAAGCAGAGAAATACCGTCAAAGGTCCTTCTTTTCCAAAGGGCACCTTGATCCATAGCTGCATAAACACATAACCCTTCCTGTATTGTTTTGAGGGAATTTGCCCTCCTGGAGAGTTTTCTTTCATTCTAAAGATTCATGAGCTTCTATAACACATTAGGCAATAAACAGAAAATGTAGTAAGCAGGCTTGGCCTTGGAAGCAAAAAAATAAAACAAATAGGTAAACATTTTTAATACCTAATATATATGCATTTCTACACTTATTTGTCAATCCTGATACTAATCCGATAGTATATGAATAATTTAGAACGTGCAGTTTCGTCAAAAAAAATTGTAATGACTTATGGGGTGCGTAGCCCATGAAATGTCTTCCATGTCAAAGCCTTATATTTAGAAACTTCAAAATAAAAGTTCTAAGCCATTTTCATCTATAGTCTTAATGAGCTTTTAACCACAGAAGTTTGGAGCTTCAAGAATGATACTTTATCCATGTTACGCTTTTTGTGCTAGAAGCGTATTGTTAGAAGTATCGTTGAATCAGCAACTACATGACTCATAGATACCTACATCATAGGACCAGAAAGGACTATCTAGACTCATTTAAAGCATTTTCATGAGTTTTCTTGTGAGAATATATCCTGTTTTTTAAAACTTTGCGAGAAGAAAAGTTTAGACTCTCCCTAAGAAACTTCTTACAGCATTTAATTCAAAAAGCATCAGAAATCTTTGTTCTTGCTCTAAACCACTCATTTTGTGATTTAAACATGTTTCACATTCTCTTCTTAAGACACATTAAAAATTGGGCGGCACATACCAGATAGTAAAACTTCATCATGGAGCCACACTCCTCTCAAAACTGTGGTACTGGCACCATCTCAGCTGTGAGATCTTTAGAATGGTCCAGAAGCAGACTCTAGTCTATATGGATTTTGTGTATAACTTGTTGCATCCCCCAACAGTGGGGAATCAGTATATGATTTTCTATAATGACGTGTTATTGTCCTCAGAGAAAAAGTCTTTCAGAATTGAAATGTATGTTAATTCTGGTTCTGTTATTAACACCAGAGGCACACCTTATAAACATGAAAACTCTTTAATCCAGCCGGTCTGCTCTAGATACAGAGAATGCTAATGCGTACGGGAGCACGGACACTAGTGTATGCATTGCTTTTCTTGCGAAGTGTTCAGTGGCACCTGTACTCACTGAGTGTCTGTATTGTGAGGAGGTGAGAGCGGGAAGGGGCTGTAGGAGGTACCCAGGAGTAGAGCTGTATCTTTGGACTCCAGTGGAAGACCCCTTCCACGCACAGAAAATATGCATCACAGTGCTGTTTTTTTTATTCTCTAGAGTATGGACTTTACTAACCGAGAACATTCAAGGCATACATCTATTAACAAACTGGAATATGAGAATGAAAGGCTCCGAAATGATCTTGCAAAACTTCATGCCAATGGCAAATCAGCCTGGGCTAACCAAAATGCCTATGAGGAAATGGGACTGTACACCTATCAAAACCAAATAAAAATGGAAAAACATGAAGATAGGTATGTTAACTCCCTTATATGAGGACACAAATGTATGCACATTTAATAGAAATGTATTTTGAAACAATTCAAAATAGAATTTTATAAACTTGCTCTTCAGTTGTTTAAATTTTATTTTACAGTGAGAATGCGTAGGATAGACCTGTTGTTTTATATGAAATTCTGTGCTATCGATAGCTCTCAAAATCTAACAGGGAAATGGGTAGTGTTAGAGTGAATTTTCGTCACTTCAGACACTTCTTAGACACTGATGTGGCAACAGAATATACAAGCAAATATTTTTTAATGTCATAAGAAAAACTAGATTTTCATATGTTACGTATATTGTTCAAAGTAGAAATATAGGACAGTGTCACTTCCGAGTTAACTTCAAAATACAGTCTTTATACCGACGCTCCTGCAGCAGCAACAAAGCGGTGGTCACTTCCTCGGGGAAGAACTGGACAAGGGGTGAGAGGTTTCCTCTGAGTGAAGAGAAGCATGTGGAGAATTAATATCTGCTATCCACATGATCCCCTTTTAAAGTGTGTTAGTTCAAAATTTAAGTAAATATGTCAACTCTAAAATCAGACTAATTTATTCAACTTTAATAAAATATTTATGGAATCAAATCTGTCTCTGGAGACTTTTCACTCTTCTTCAAGACTTGGAAGGTTCTCAGCAAAATAAGTTTCTTTTCTAGCAGGGCAGCTCTGAGTCATTAATATGCTAATGTACATTGTGAGGTTCAAGAAGGGATGTGGTGTGCAACACTCCTCAAACTTATTTAATATCAGATTTATTGACATTTCGTGGTGCCGCGAAATGGTAAATTGATAGGACCCAACTTCAGTACAACTTTTGCTCAAGAACTCATAATACTTAGCAGGAAAACCTTGCATACTGTTTTCATATAATGTAATATTTACAACCTTGGGAAATTTACTAAACCTCTGTGATCCTCAATTTCCCATTGATAAATAGGGATAATAATTACAAGGTTTTTTTGTGAGAATTAGAGAACACATAGTTCCATGTAAACCACGTATTTCCATAAATGTTAGCTATTCTTACTGATATTATTATTACTAACAAAATTTTTAGCATTTATAATAATATGAATACGTCACTCACAGTGCCTAAAAAGTCGGTGTTGATGGCCAAATGGCTGAATCTGACATTTCCTCAGAGATAGTCCTGTGGAGGAGGGGTGATGCCAGGCTCATCTTTATAACTAGGCATGCCCAGTTCTACAGGTGGCTAAATCTGTAAATCCATGGGACATACCAAAAAATAGGTCTGTTCAACATTCTTGCGGATGTCGTGTTTGTCTCTCCTACCTGTATCACCTCAGCCCTGTGTTAGAGGATATGTCCTAACCCGATGCAAGAAACAGCCAGCATTCAAAAGTGCTAAATTAATAACCTTTCTTCAAGTAGTTCAGGAAGGAAATGAGGGCAGGCTGGCTGCTACCCTAAAAGACAACTGATGGGAGCATTCTGGCCGGGGCTGGGGGGGTGGGGTGCGGATGGAACAGGTCACCGAGGCAGAGCCATGGGCCAGCCCTCCGCTGAATGTGCTCATGCCTGCTGGCCAGTAGAACCGAAAATCTGTCCAAAACGGGGCTCATTTTGATTGTGGCATAGAAGTATTTTTCCTAATATAGAATAAACCCTTCTCAAAGTGCTTCCCTACTCTACAGATTTATTTCTCCGTGGGTCAAATCACGATCCCATGTATACGGTTTTTTCCTTGTCAAGAGAAAAGCAGGCCCCTAAAGATATGATAAAGGATCTTCCCGTGGATGTTAGTCAGGACTGGCCTGCATTGAGCCCCCATTAGGGGTGGAACATTGTTTCCTATTCTTGCTTGTTGGGAATAACTTTGAAAGCCTTAAGCCTTAGATGAAGGTACCAGGAGTTATTTAAAAGGCAGTTACTCTGCCTTTTATTATTTTTAAAAAGTAATTTTATTGTTTGGATTGCCCCCTCTTTTCTTTGTTGGGCGGCACAGAATGTGTTAAAAGCACCTAACAAAAACAAGACCGTAGGGGACACAGAAAGCAACACAAGAGGTAAAATGCTCAGCAGGAGATTATCTTAATAAGCAGTTTGGACTACTATCCCTGCTGCAGAGCCTTGTGTCCTGCCAGTCTCATCTGTTGAAAGTTTCATTAAATTTGTTTTAATGCCTTGTCTGATTTCAGTGTTCTCCAGTGACCTGATTTTTAAAAGAAACAGCATTTCAAATGTTCTGAATAAATTATTACCATGTAGAACCCGCTATGGGGAAAGTGTTGTTGAGTTGCAAGGACAGCGGGCTCAGCAGTGGAGGGCTGTAAAGTACATGTCTATTAATTTTAGCAAGTGAAAAATGAAATGTTCCTTCTTTCCCTCACACAGCTCAGTGAAGCCAAATAGTAAAAGCTATATATATTCGTTAGGCATAAAAATCATCAGAAAATACGGAGTCATATTTACATAGCAATGGCTAATGCGGTGAGGTCTCATTAAACTATTTTAGAAAGGAGAAAGCTTTTAGGTAAAATTATATGAAGATAGTGTTCCACAAACATTTTTTTTAAGATTTTATTTATTTGTCAGAGAGAGAGAGCACAAGCAGGGGGAGTGGCAGGCAGAGGGAGAAAGAAGCAGGACCCCGACTGAGCAAGGGAGCCCGATGCAGGGCTCGATCCCAGGATCCTGGGATCATGACCTGAGCCGAAGGCAGACGCTTTAACGGACTGAGCCACCCAGGCATCCCCCACAAAATTTTCAAGTCTAACTTTTTTAGCCGCTTCCTCCTTTTAGCTGAGGAAGATTCGCATAATACATTTTTATTTTTAAATTTTATTTAAATTCTATTAATTAACATATAGTGTATTATTAGTTTCAGAGGCAGAGTTCAGGGGTTCATCAGTTGCATACAACACCCAGTGCTCATCACATCACGTGCCCTCCCCAACGCGCATCACCCAGTTACCCCATCCCCCCACCCACCACCCCTCCCGCAACCCTCAGTTTATTTCCTATGGTTAAGAGTCTCTTATGGTTTGTCTCCCTCTCTGATTTCATCTTATTTTCTTTTTCCCTCCCTTCCCCTGTGATCCTCTGTTTTGTTTTTTAAATTCCAATATGAGTGAAATCATATGATAATTGTCTTTCTCTGATTGACTTATTTCACATAATACATTTTTAAATAATCTTTTATCCACTTGGAAGTAAACCAATTTTTGTTGTTGTTTCATTCCTATTAGAAGTAATAAGTTCTTCATGCTCATCCACTTAAAATGCAAAGCATTTTAGGATATTCCAACAGATTTGCTTTCCGATAAGAAAGTTATTCAGCACTTAAAAAAAATTATGAGTAAGACATAATTGAATTTGGTGAGGATGTATTGAACATTTTTAAAGTTTTTAAAAGTTAGAGTTTTGAAGTTTAAGGATAATTTACAAGCTAGTTTGGAATAGTGGTATCCAGAGCAATTAACATGACTAATTTTAATGACAACTCAATTTTGTAATAAATGGGGTTTCATCTCTATATATGATACATACGTAAAAGTCAATGTATGGTTTTAAAGGTTACATCATGTATTGGAGAGAGTTTAGTGATCACAAATATTAATCATTAAAATTGCTTCAAATCTAGTTTAATAAATAAAAAGATTCTAATACTAAGAAAACCACAAAGTCGGTAGGTTTGTCATAACTACTCTCACAGAATCCCTCGTCAAGGAATGAATAGTCATCTAGAAGCAAAAAAAGTAAGTTGAGAAAATTTTGTACCAAGGTGTTACTGAATAAGGAGCAAAACATAGCAGGCTGAAGAGTTGTGGGCCAGGGAGAATGAGGAGTTCATAGACCAGGGAGCATCACATGGAGTGTTAGAAGGTGAGGCTGGAAGCAGGCAAATTAGCACTTGTGAAAGGATCCTGTTCCATGCTGAGGACATTATCTTGTAGCCCAGGGAAAATTAACAGAGGGCCAGGAATGGACGTACAGTCAGACAACTCTGAAAACTGCAGACAATTGACTCCAAGGTCTCAAGGGGGCAGAGTTCTGCTCCCAGCAACAACTGGGTCCTGCCCTCCCGGCCGAAGTAGGCAGAGGCCTTGGACGAGGGCCTGTGGAAAAGCTAACTGAAAAGACCAGCTTGTGAGAGGGAAATAAAAGCCTTTGGAAATAACCTTTAGGATAGCTTTTAAATTGATAGACTGAGCATTTTTTGCAAGGTGGTTTTATGAAGTATTTGAATAGCTGCATTCTAGAAGAAGAACTTTTCAGATATAAAGACGATTTAAAGCAAAAGGATTTTACTCCATAATGGAGTCTTCCCTTTCAATCTCTACATTTTATGACTCTTACAGTAAAAAGCATGTTCATATATAAGTTTTAAGAATTAACACTGTAAAACTGTATCGATACATCCAAAGCAAAATGGATAGTTGAGATAATTCTGTAGAAAATTCAGGACAAATAATACTTTCCCTGAAATCTTTGTATAATTGAGATTACAAGGAGATATATATTTCTTGAGTCCTTTCTATAATTATCTTATTTTTTCCCACTGTGCTTTGAAGTATAGATGGTAGCCTCACTCAAAAGGTTTAGCTGGAGACTCTATGCACATGTACTCTGCAATTGTTGCAATTCTATCTGAATTGTGGGATGTTTCATCTTAACGTGCACATCATAAACCATGTTATTTCAGTTTAATTTGCTGTTCTGTTTCCCTGGTAATTATTGTTTGGAAGAATGGATTTAAAAAAAGATATATTTCGAGATAAGTAAAAATGGAAAACATGTTGTGTTTGTTGTTATGTCCTAATTTACAGATGTCTCACTTAACTTTTATTGTTATTTGTATGCATCACTTTGAAAATGTTTACATAATAGGAAACAAGCCTGTACAGATAGATAGTCTTTGGATAAGAGCAGAGAACAATAATGTGAATTTTTTGGAGCTGCGTGAAATTAAAATATGAAGGCTTTGAAAATGGTAAATCAATACCTGTGGAGAATTTGAATAATCAGTAAAAATGAATAAATAATTTTAAGTTGAAGGGATTCTTATGTTTTCATGGGCTTTGATGATTTTGATTAAATTTCAACCCCAATTTCATGAATTAATGTTCAGAAAGATATTTATTTAGTCCCAAATAGCTCATCCTGTTAGGACGTTTTTATATAAAATTTTACTGGAAATTGGTTCGGGTTTTTGTTTTGTTATTCATTTGTTTAGTCAGCATACCAAAATTTAAAATCTCACTGGTATTTTATTCAGTCTCATCTTCTACCTTATATTTTAGCACACACAACCAATTCTGTACTATACCTTTCATCCCAACTGTGGAGTTCAATTCTCCCAACAACCCATTTTTTATCAATGAAAAAATTAAAGTCACAGAAAGATAGTTTCCTGCTCAAGGTCAGTGTCATACAAGTACTAAGTGTGGAAGAGTTTAGCAGATGATATAAATTGAAAAAATGTTACAAATTTTTTTTTTTAAGATTTTATTTATTTGAGAGAGAGTGAGAAAGAAAATGCATGAGCAGGAGGAGGGGCAGAGGAAGAAGCAGGCTTCCCGCGGAGCAGGGAGCCCGACACGGGGCTCGATCCCACAACCCTGGGATCATGACCTGAGCCGAAGGCAGACGCTTAACCTACTGAGCCACCTAGGCACCCCAAAATGTTACAAATTATTAAGCCCTATAGGAATTAGAATTATTGTACAAGGACTTGTTCTAGCATAAAAAAAAAAAAAAAGAAGCATAATTCCTTTAAGAAAGCCAGCAAGGTTAAGTGAAATAGAGAATACAAAAAGAGGATTATTTAGAATTGTCAAGGGCAGCAGTGTGAGCTGTTTTGAGATTCTTCCCAAACTGGTATCATGTTATTTAATTAAATGGCAAAGAGACCTGAAAGTAAAACACAGAAAGGGATACGATATAGGCCATAAGAGTAGAAGAATATTTTTAACAACTACCACTATTAATCATTAGAAATGACTCATCTGGAAGATGATTTTCAAAGAGACACTGAGGTAAGAAGCCCAGAGCTTTTGTCCTGCTTCCCCCCTTGTTAGACAACACAGAAATTTAAATCCTTAGCTGCATGAACAAGCCGTGTCCTTGGTAGTGGTAAACGAGGACCATCCTTCTCTCCTAGACTTAGCCAAGATCGTGAGCCAAACCGAAGTGTGACGCCTCCACTACCACCTTTGCCATTTCAGACCAAAGAAATGACAAGTCCCCTGGCTAGTGACGACGAAGTGTTCCCACTGGTGAGTTGCGGGTTGTTGGTTAATTTTTTCCTTGAGGGAGGGATTACTCTTACACTGATACCTATATACTGATGTACACAGAGTGGTTAAAAAAATATATATATATTGCTCCTTGGATAGGACTCCAAGGTGGGTCTGTGGGTCATTTGGCCCTGCCTTCCATAGAAGGAAAAGAGATCCATAATGTTGCACGAAGTATTTCAATCTATGGCTATTCACCTCCAGTGCAGGCTGGAATTATTGGTGATGCTTTTTAAAAATCCAAGTGCTTAGGACTCATCCCTAGACACGCCGTGAGCCCTCAGTGATCTGCCTATTTTAGAGAGCTACAAGTGATCTTTTATGCCTGTTTAAAAAAAAAAAAAAAACTTTTTTATTGACTCCGACATACATACAGAAATATGCACAGATCAGAACTGGACAGCGGGATGAATTATCACAAAGGGAGCATCAGGTAACTAGCACACAGGTAATAAACAGAACGTTGGTGGCACTCCGGAAGCACCTCTCACATCCCCTTCCAGTCACTTCTTCCACTTGCTCCCAAGGTAACCACTATCCTGACCTTTAATGTCATGAATTAGTTGCAGCCATTTGTAAATTTTATGTAAATGGTATCATACTATATGTGTTCTTTGTGTCTGGCTTCTTTTGCTCAACATTATTTCTGAGGTTCACCATCCACATTGTTTTATATGGCTGTAATTGGTCCATTTTTTTTCTCTATAGTATTCCATAGTATGAGACTACAATTTATCCATTTTACTGTTGGCAGGCATTTGACTTATTTCCTGCTTGAGAATATTACAAATAATACTGTTAAACACATTCTTGTATGTGTCTTTTGGTGCACATGTGTACACATTTCCATTGGGTATATTCCCAAGAGTGGAATTGCTAGGTCATGGGATATGCATAGGGTCAGCTTTAGGAGGTAATGCCAACTGTCTTCCTAACTGTTTGAGCCAGTTAATACTCCAATAAGAGTGTTCTTCTTGTTATATATTCTTCCCAACACTTGGTATTATTGGTCTTTTAATTTTAGCTTTCCTGGTCAGTGTGTAGTAACTTCCTGTTGTGGTCTTAATTATGTATCTGGTGAATAAAACTGAGCAACTTTTCATGTATTTATTGGCCATTTTGATATTCTCCTTTGTAAAGTGTCTGTTCAATTTCCTTGCCTAACTTTCTATTGGATTGTCTTTATTCTCATCGATTTGTAGGAGTTCTTTATATATTCTGGATATAAGCCCTTTGTTGATTATGTATATGGCAAATATCTTCTCCCACTCTTACTTGCCTCCTCACTTAATAGTATCTTTTGGTAACCAGAAGTTCCTAATTTTAATACAGTCAAACTTATGAATCTTTTTCTCTATAGTTAACATTTTTGGCCTTTCCCAAAGTTATAAAAATATTATCCTATGTTATCTTCTAGAACCTTTGGCTCTTTATCTTTCATATTTACATTTACACCTGGAATCCATTTTTGCGTATGGTGCAAGGTAGTATTCTCAAACCGTTTTCCCATGAAAATATTCAGTTGAATTTGCACATGTGTTCCAGTCCTGTACATTCTATTGAATTTTTTATATACAGAATCAAAATAATGACAGTTTGTTTTCTACTTTCATATCTTTGTACCTTCTTATTTTCTTTTTCTTGCTTTATTATCCTAAGGCCTCCTATAAATGTTGAGTAGGAGAAGTGGTAAAAGCAGTATCCTTCTCGCATTCTTAATTGCAAAGAGAAAGCTTTCAATATTCCACCATTGTGTCTGATATTTACTATAGGTATTCTGTAGATTCCTTTGAAAAGATTAAGGAAATTCCCTTTTATTCCTAGATTGCTAACTGCTCATGAATTAATATGGAATTTTATCAGATGCTTTTACTGCTTTTGAAACGACCAAAAGAAAAGAAAATAAATGACCATATAATTTTTCTCTTTTGCTTGGTTAATGTGATGTTTTTTCTTGTTAACCCAACTTTGAATTCTTGGAATAAACTCCACTTGATAACTGCATTTGATCTGTTCATATTGGCTTAGAATTTTTGCTTTGTGTTCACTAGAGAAATTAGCCTATAATGTTCCTTTGCTGTCCTTGTCAAGCTTTGGTATCAGATTATGCTGACCTCATAAAACAGGTGGGAAAGTTTCTTAATTTCATATTCTTCTGTTTCTTCATTTTCCTTGACTCTCTGCATTGGTTTCTATGCATAAAAGCACCACCTCTCCCTGTCTTAAGAAAGTGGTTTCATGTAGGTTAATTTCAGTCTTCTATTTTTCAGTTCTTAAATTTTCATTTGATTCTTTTTTACATTTTCCAGTTCTGTGCTGAAATTTTCTGCCTTATGATTTAATTTCTTGAACATAATAATCACAGGGTTTCTTAAAGTAGATGTCTACCTCAGAAAGTAAGTAGTATTACTCTTAGCAATTGCTTTCACTTGTATTCAAAGTATGTTATGCAATTTTCAGCACCTCTCCATGATATACTAATATTGGATACAAATTATAAACAATGACAACAACAGAAAATGTTTAAACTGGATGGGGTATCCCATGAGTACTTTTCTGTTTTTCTGAATTCTATCACCTTCTTTTGGTAGAGACTGGAAGTAAAATTTAAGCTGTTGTGGAAGGAGAAGACTTAAAACCATTAACTTTTGAAGCGTTAGAGATCTCTAAAGCCTTGAAATGCTCTTTTGTGTTCATCTCAACATAAAATGCCAGAATTATTTGAACAGAATAAAATTTCATACCAATAAAGTAACTGAAATAAACTTCCTTATTTAAGCTATGGGAACTGCTAAGGGGATTTAGCAAATTCTGTATCAACAAAATTTGGATCTTTAAGGACTCTGAAGTAAGCATATACTCGTGAAACCAAACATGATGAATTGTTAAATGCCATATGGTTCTAATGTCAGATGATTTTAGCATTTTAGGATCATTAGTCTCTGCTCAAATATCACCTCATCCAAGGGGCCTGAGCAACCAACCTACAGTAGCATCTCCCTCTCTTTTCCCTGACCCCTTGTCCTGGTTTTTATTTTGTTCATAGCACTTCACCATAAAACATTTTATGTCTGCTCGTGTGTTTGCCTCCCTCCTCCAGAATTTAAACTCCATGAAAGTAGGGACATTTTCTGTCTTTGTTTACTGTTGTAACCCCAGCACCTAAAACCGTGTGTAGCACTAGTAGGCACATAAAAAGCATATGAGAGTATCTGTTGTAATAACTTAATAAACACTGGGCTTCCTTCTATCTCTAAAATTCTGCGTCACTCCTTGGAGGAAGTTCATAGCCCCAGAGTTGCCAGGAAAGAAAATTCTCTACTGTTTTTGGTCTGGGCATGGGGAACTTAATCTGTGATGTTCCCTGAAAGACATGGCCTAGTCCACTGTTCTGGGTCCAGTAGTTCCCCCCCACGTCTGCATTTTAACTTCTACAACAATACTGTTCCTTCTAAGACCACCAGCAACCTTCTACTTGTTAATTAAATATGCTTTTAAGAACTCGTCTTCCTTAATCATTTTTTCTTGAAACTCTCGTGTTCTCTGGCTTCTATGACCCTATTCTCCACTGATTTTCCTGCTGCCTTTCTGGTTACTTTTTCCCAGTATGCTTCCAAGCTTCTCTCTCCTATACCCGTCCTTTAAATATTAATGTTTGTCATTAGCTTATGGCAGGTTCTGTTCTAAACACATCTTTGATGGGACAGACAAATCTATAGTCTGGTGAAAGAGAGGAACCCCCCCGAGTTGGATGAACAGATTAACAAATAGTGTTACAGACACAAAATGGAATACTATTCAGCCATGAAAAGGAGTGAAGTAGTGATACATGCTACAATGTGGTGGATGAACCCCCAAAAGACTATGCTAAGTGAAAGCAATTAGCCACAAAAGGTCATATATTTTATGATTCCACCTATAGGAAGTGCTGAGAATAGGTAAATCATAGAAACAGGATGCAGACTGGTGGTTACCAGGGGCAGCGCAGGGAGCAGGGAATGGAGATCACTGGCTTCGTGGGTTCAGTTTCCTTTCAGGATGATGAAATTATTTTAGAACCAGATAGAGATGGTGGTTGCATAACATTGTGAATGTACTAAATGCCACTGAATGGTTCATTTTAAAATGGTTTTATTTGATGTACATTTTACCTCAAAAAGGGGGGGGGAATTAATGACTGGAAACAAATGAATATATAAAAAATATCAAATAGTGATAAATTGAATGACAAAAAGAAAAGCCAGTGATGTGATAGGAAGTGATGGGAGTGTGAGGGATTACTTTCGGTTGAGTGGCCTGGAAAATGAGAAGGGGACCCTGAGGAGACCTAAATTATGTTGAGACCTAAATTAACAACAACAAAAAATGATCCAAAGATCTGGAGGAAGAGGGCTTCAGGCAGAGGGAGCCCCTGGTGCAAATCTGTAAGGCAGGAACAAGTTTGGTAAGTTCGAGAACCAGTCAGGTGGGGGGTGGTGGAAAGGTCTGGAACCTAGGAAGAGAGAGAGGATGGAATGAAATGGGGACAGAGAAGTAATCAGAGGAAGACCAGATCTGTAGAGACTATAGGCCAAGGGAAGGAATTTGAGTTTTGTTTTTAAAGTATCTTTTAGGAAGACCCTTTTGATTGTCAAATAAATAATAGAGGGGCAAAGGTAGAAGTGCAGAGAACAATTTTTGGGCTATTTCAGTAGTCAAGGCAAGAGATGATGAGCTGGTTTGGTAGCGGTGGAAATAGAGCAGCATGTGGGATCCAAAATGTTGTGGAGAACAGACCAGACTGACAGTGGGTTGGCTCTGGGGAGTGAAGGAAAGAGAGGACTCAGAGATGAGTCCTAGGATGTTGGCCTGAGCATTGGGTGGATGCTAACACCACATTCTGACATGAAAGACTAGGGGAAGGAGCAGGGTTAGAGGAGAGAATCATGATTTCTAGGTTGGGCACTTAATTCAAAAATGTTTATTAGACATGCAAATGGGGATATCACATAGGTGTTAGGATATGTGACTCTGGGATTCAAGGAAGAGATCAGAGCTGGAAACAAAATATGGGAGTAATCAGCATGTGGCTGATATTTAAATCTATAGGACTGGATGAGAATACTTGGAAGGGTATAAATAGGGAAACTGTCCTAAGACAAAGCCTCAGACCATAACATTTAGTGGTCCAATGGGAATCTTCAAAGAGAGGAGGGAAGATTGATGGCGAAGGAGGTGGGACCCATGAGTAACGAGGTTCATTTGCAGAAACAGCCATCGAGAAGATACGAAGGAATAGAATCCATGGTATAGGTAGAAGTAAGAGTCTCTGAAACAGAGTATGGCCTAAAATATAGCTACAGGTGCAAAAGGTGTGGAGAGGGAGCTCCCTCCCGAGAAAGAGGCAAGGCCACCAGGTAATGAGTGAGAAAGTGAATATGCCAGAGAAGTGCAATAGAACGGTCAGGAGGTGTTACCATCTTACATTTGAGGTCATGGACTTTAAGTGAAAGCAGTCCCCACAGTAATACAATTCGTCCTCCGTCCGCCTGCCTGAGGATGCAGCTGCTCAGGTGCGGGCATGGTTCAGGCAGTTTATTTAGGCCTGGGTTTTGCCGAGTACCTAGGACAGAGAACAGGATACAGGGAAGTGCGGGGGGCGGGGGGTGGAGACAAATTGCTGAATGGTTATAACGATGGATCTGGAATATAAGCAGAGTTAGAAGGGAATGAGTGGCGTGAGAAAGTGGGAATACTAGACTAAGCTGGAAGGATAATAGATGGGTTGCTGAAAATCTTGATTAATAAATAAAGCAGTTATCATTGCTGACAATGTCGAGAACATGAACATGGGAGTGGGTGCCTGAAATGAAGTTATCTCCAAGATTCCATTTTTGAATTGCCTTTTTTATTTGCATGTCTTAGATTATTTCAATCAGACTCACAGCTTTAAATATCTATAACTTTAAAATATCTCTGATCCAGACCTACCTTTTGAGATCTGGACTGATGATATATCCCATTTTCTATATGACAATCTGTTTGAGTCCCAAGTCACCCCTAATTCAGCATTATTTAAAATCAAATGCACTTTCTTCATTCATATGTTAATCCAAAAATTTTGTTTAAAATGTACTCTGTGCCAAAATCTGTGCTAGAACCTGGGGAATCGAAAATAAACAAGACCTTACCCCTAATGGGCCCCTTTTACTGTTTTATTTTTTCTCAATAAATGGCACTGATGTCACCCAGTCATCACTCAAGCCAGAAGTTAGGAGGTCGTCCATCTGCGATCAAGTTTCCTAGAATCTGAGATGGAGATTCTTATGAAAGTGATTTATTGAAGGTAGTATTCTCAGCAGAAGGAGAGTCAGGAAAGCAGTCTAGGGGAAGGGAGAAAAGCTAAACAAGGATGAGGTCTCAGCTAGAGATTAGCTTGGCCTGGTCTCACCAGGAGCTTGGAGCATGTACTGCAGGACAGTCGGTTCCCCTGGAGACAAGAAGTCTGGCGTTTTGTGCCCCGTGTCAGTCAGTCCTTGCCCCTGAGAGGAGAGGGAATGGGCTGAGGGGAATACTGCAACTTCTCAGATGAGGCAGGAGGCTCCAGCCCAGCCGAGGGCAGGTCTCCAGAGAACCAACACCCACAGTAGCTGGAGGATAGCTGCACCAGCCCGGTGAAGGGAATCCCCATAGGGCACCATCAGCATCCGCTGCAGTCCACCTCTTGAACCACTCAGATCCATGTTCTCTTCCTGCGGTTCATTCCATTCAGGCCTATCTTCTCTAAGCTTCTGGCTGGCCATAATTTCTGGGAAAGCTTATAAGAGGAGGGTTAGTGCAACAAAATACAGGCCTTGATACTGCAACTGGTCTCAAGGACTTGACTGCTAGTCATCATCTCATCACCCATTCTAGGCTCCCATGCCCTTGTCAGGATGTGGTTTGCCATTTACAGTTAAAACCGGGCACGAGGGTATTTAAAGAAACCTCAGTGGCTCACCTGAATATCAGACATATTCCTTACCGCCTCCATTATGTAGCAGTAGTCTTTGTGATGATTAGGGCCAGATACCTCTGCCGGGGGGTAATACCTCTTTTCTGAGCCTCTGATCTATTGGCACAAAGAGCCCAAGGTGGCTGGGTACCAGCCAATGCTTTAAGTTTAGTGAAACTCTTACAGGTCTCTTGGTGGAGGCATTTCCCTCTCTGAGACCCACCACCTGTACATCAACAGAGCCTCAAGATACGAAGACAGAAGGTACAGATTCTCCAAGTGGGTCACCAGAAGTGATAGAGAGTGGGGCCATTCCTCCATCCTCCCTTTTGTTCCCAGATTCGTGTATTCTACCTGTGGGAGACACAGTAGTATATAATAGCCATTGGTTGAAAGTCTATACCATATCGTGAAAACGGTACCCCATCCTCACAGGATATAATTTCCCAGCTGACGATGCCCCAGCCCTGCCTTCAAGACGTCTATCAGGCTAGCATATCGTCTAGATGGTGCTGTATGCAGGAAGACCAGTGAATACCATGGTCATGCCCCACTGCCATACTCCTCTGCTGTAAATTAGGTTCCTTTACTATTAATCAGGATCCCACGTCAGTAAATCTGTCTCTCTGTGAGCTCTCAGGGAGTGATCAAGGCCAAGGCCCTTCGGGCAGGAAAGGCAAACCCATAGAATACATGTCAGTGCTAGTAAGGATAAAACATTGCCCTTTCCAAGGTGTAAGGGACCTGGTGTAAACTAATTGCCACCAAGGGGCTGGCTGGTCTCTTTGAGGGATGGTGCCATATCAGGAACTCCTCAGCTTTGGTCTCTATTGCAAGCAGATGAGACACTCAACAGCAATGGTTAGCTAACTTGGTGAAAGGGAGACCGTGCCGTTGAACCCATCTGTAATTTCCACTGGAGTGGCCGAGGACAGAGCTTGATCCAGTCATCCTATCCACTTCGTAGATGCTCTGCCTCAGTTCCTGCATTGCATTCCTGCATTGCAGGAACTGTTCTGTGAGTAGTATACAGTTTTCTGCTACAGATGGTGTGGCCTTGCTCCAGAATCTTAAGGGCCTTCAATGCAACTTGCCTAGTAAATTCGCCAGAGGCTACACAAGGCAATTTTTTTCTATCAGAGATTCCTCTAGTATGAGATCTGCTAAGTCATCTGGCATAAATTAGGACTTCACAGGTCACAAACAGTTAAATGAGCAAGCACTTCCATATTAGCACGAAGTGTGTAACTGGGCGCTTACCACTGAGGCTTTGTCGGCTCTAATTGGACAAACGAGCTACATTCCAGCATTAGGGCCCTCCCCATGAGGAAGCCACTCGAAGCCCGACATGCATCATGATGCCAGCCCTCCTCACCTGGCCAACTCCAGACAGCAATTAGCTCCCTTTTTCAGCCAATCCTTAATTGTTTTTTTCCTATTAAGCTTTCTTTGCCCAAGTCTACTATAATCTTCACTTTAGCTTTTTGGAGTTGCCTATTTTCAGATGAATACCTTTGGTTTTACAAATTAGTCGAGTATGTTTTAGGCAAGTCCCATGGTAATTTTGTTGTCCCTGCTTTTGCAGTTGGACATGGTAATATTCATTTCTGGAGCTTTCGAATGTAATGGTGCTGTGATGTTTTCGTTCCTTGAGGATTTCACGAGCAGTCACTGTATTACAACAGCAGAGAGAGTTCAGCCTGGATTATTTCATTAAGAATTGCGCTGTCTGACCATGCCAGGGATGAAGCATGCCTGGAAACAGGAAGGTTTAGAAGGCTTTGTGTTCCTCATCTAACATTTCTTTCTCTCTTTAGTCTCCTCCAGATACAGTCTTCCCAGCCTCTTTGGCTGCACAGCATTTCCTTCTGGAGGAAGAGAAGCGAGCAAAAGAATTTGAGAAACTTCTAAATACACATATTGATGAACTGCAAAGACATACAGAATTTACTCTTAATAAATACACCAAGCTAAAACAAAATAGACACATATGAGCTTTTAAACTCTTTTATTTGCTTCCCTCACCCCAAGAAAAAAAGCTCTGGCAAAATATTTACAAAGCTGAATAATGAAACTGAGAAATTTTGTTCTGTTTTCTTAAGTAAATCATTTCTGTTAGGCAGCTAGAAAATAGTAAGTATTTTGTTCGATAAAGCTGTTTGTATTTCTACATTTACATAGTAAATTGTTTGGCTATAGAGTTACGATAAAATAAACGTGACTACTCCAAAAGAGATTCGTTTCCCAGTCTAAGGAATATTGTGGAATTAAATATGGGTTTTTTTCCCCCACTTGAATCATGTACACTGAAAACCCATTTCCTCTGTAACAACACAAAATGAGGGAAAGGGAATGCTGCATTCCAAATATCAACGCATCAAGTGCAGCTCAGTTCTAGGTTTGGAAACTCAAGGATTTTTAAAAATGAAAAGACATTATTCTGAGCTATGTCAGCATCCTAAAATGTCTTTTAGAAAAAAAGTATAGCTTTACTGGTTCCACGTTCATCCTTGTAATGTCTCTGTTTTAACACAGTAAGACATGGAACGTCCCAAGATTAATGCTTTCCTGTTAGCACTAATTACTTCATGGACATGAACAAGATCAAGAAGATACGAAACATTACTGTTGTGCCATTCCTCTTTGTAATACCTCTGTTTTTAATACAGTAAAGGAATACGAAATTCTGTGGACTGAAAATGTAAATGCCAAATCTGTATACAACAGTAATAGCATGGTAGTAGACAATAAAATTCAAGTTACAAACATATAAGCATGACAATCCATTCTTCTTTCTTTAAAAATGACATCTATATACAGATTATGAAAAATCCCTCTATAGTTACTCAAGGTAAGTCCTACAGCTTTTATAGTTTTCTTTTTCCCTTTGGAAAGACTGAATCTCAACATACTGAAAGATGAAGTCAAGATGTCTATAGATAACAAGTGTCATTGTCATGTGAAAAATGCAGAGCCCTGTTCCCTTTAGGTGATGGGACTGTGTAGATCTGTACAGCTCTTGCTATTTGCAGAAAGCCTTCACATAGCAATACTCATTTCAACTCAAAACAAGCCTGTGAAATCAGCAAGGCTAGAATCCTTATTCCTGGGAATCCAGCTGTTAAGAAACTTCCAGAATCAGGGTAATCAATGGAATCCGAGATGCCTGGCTTCTAATTACTGGCTCCAACTCTTACTACCTCCCAGTATCACCTTTTGTAAGCAAACAGATGGTGAACAAGGCTTATCCACAGAAGCCCTGTTTCATGACAAAACATGTGAGGGGTACAAAGCCTTCAGTGTACCCAAAAAAGTCTATATGAGGAAAATAACAAAAGTTATGGTGCTTTAAAATTATTTGGTCATTTCTAGCCTGGACACAAAATATTTTTCAGTGTTATCTTTAGAGGATGGGCAGAAAAAGTATACGTTAGGAAAAGGGCATTCCATAAACAATTCTAAAATCTTTGTATCCGTAATGCAAATACAAACAATGCAAAAGCTTAAATACACATGTCTTTATAATCCCCTAAATCTGAATGCCACTTCATTCTCTTCAGGGTGGAGACATGATTAAAAATTGTGTGCTGAAATAAAGATCTAGCTACAGTGTTCTTAGAACTTAGCAGAGTCAAGAGAGCATGAACTTGGAGCACGTCCAGGACTAACAGGGAATCTGCTCCTCTGGATTATTATTTCAAGTCCCTAAGCAAACTTCTTTTAAATCACTAGTTCAGCATTGCACTTAATACCGGCTTTCTTAAAACAGTAGTTTTCAGTACTTTTTTAATTTTTATTTTTTTGCTTAACAGCAGGATTCATTGTTCAAAAGGAATCAAATGCTAAAGCCCAACATAAATATAATCAAGATAAAAAGCAAGCCAGCCTTCTGTTTGCATGCTGAGAGGAGGGAAGGAGGGAGCGCCCCCCAGCCCCCTGCTGCTCACACTCACTCAGTCCTTGGCCTCTCCCACCCTCCAGAGACCAAAGGATTCCCTGGGGCAGCACCCGGGTGGGAGGGCTGGGAGGAGAGGCAGATGTGCTCCGTATCACCTCAGCGCACAACACATTTTCCTACAGAAACCGTGTCATGGATAACGGTGGTAGCCTCCTCCCTTCTACAAAAGCCATTTTAGCCCATGATTTAGCTACAGCATGATGGGAGGAGGAGAAGGAAAGAAACAGGAGAAAGACCCATGAGGCCATCTAACACTGGACGGTGGCTCAGAGAGGAAGTGTGACCTGAGTTAACGTTTGCCTCATGACGGCTTAGGTAGACACTTTCACTTCTCAGTTACTCAGGAGCCTATTAACTGGTCTGGGAATTCAGCAAATTTGGGGGAGGGAGGGTGGGCTGCTGGAACATCAGAGGTAACCCCCAAATTTCAGTGAAGACAGTAGACAACTCTGGATTATCTGTCACCAGAGCTGGGAGTGGCCCTGGCACCAGCATCCCGAGATGCAGCCCCACCCAGGCCTGTCTCCTCCCACTCTGGGGGAGCAACCAGAGGCGAGCATTTTAGAGGTTGCCTCGTTAGAGAGCCCTGCCCTGGCGGTCAGTTTGTCCAGGTCCCTGCTGTGCCTCAACCACGGTTAGCCTGACCCGAGCAATCTAGACTCAATTATGGTTTCAGCAGGGCTGTGGGGTTATCTCTGCATCTCTTCCCCATGCCACTATCTACACTGACATCAATCTCCTCTTTATCTATGTGCTTCCTGTCTCTCCAATGGGCCCAAAAGATCCTAAAAGAGAGGAGTTTCCTTAGGCTTCCCTGCCTCCCCTGTGCTCCCAGCACAGGGCCTTGTCATGGGAGGTGTTTAGTAAGTAATGACTGATGGGCGGATTGAATCCAGACATGGGGGGGGTACCTTCAGCAAAGGCAATGAGTGGCGCAAATTCGAGGCAGTTTATGGAACAGTGACAACACACAAGCTGTGTGAAATTGTCAACTGCAGAAGAGTGCTCAGACTGTAAGTTTGTCTAAACGCTGGTGGATGCGAGGGGGAGCTTCACTCCTACTGGACCTCACATAGGACCGTCTGAGTACACGTTCGTTTTATGTTTCAACTGATGTCTAATAGGACTCTGATATAAAACATCAGCCATAGTGCTTAACGGTCAGAGCAAATGAAACCCCGACAATCCTAAGACGTGAGCAATATGGTAGAAAGTGTGAGAGGGATTTGGGCCCAAGGACTTAAAGCCCAGTTAGCAACTGAAACTCTGCCCAGCCCTTCCAACGCTGTAGCCCAGAGTGTCACCAGGAGCTAAACTCTAAAGGATAAAATACTTAGACTGATAAAAGGTTCTTCCCTCCTACAATGAGGCTGCCCCGTGGCTCAGGGATGACAGGGAATGGGCCATGGGCCTACTGGGTCCTGGCTGAGGGCAAATCCTGGGGGAAGGTTTTTGTGACCTTCAGGGAACTATCAGGGCACAAGTGAGGCCAAAATATCAGCACGAGTCACAGAAGTCAACCAGGCAGTGTTCAGAAGCTGCCACTCATCACCATCCAACATGGGTCAAGAGAGGTGAGTCATATAACAAGGATAAACATGAGTCAGAGTCAGGCAGGCAATTACTGTAATGATGGCCGACACAGCAGAACTGCCAGGTAATCGAGAATCGCAAAGTTCCAACAGGGAAGGCTTCAGTAAGGCCAGGCATAGACTGAAGAAGGTGCCCAGAGCCATTAGCTGGCCCCATGACCGGACTAGAAATTCTTAAGTCTTAAAGGTTCTCGATGGTTAGGACAGCTTAGATCTGTTGGAGGCCAATGACTCCCCATGCCTTGGCCCCGTGACCTGCACAAAGGTTCCATTTCCTTATCTGTAATCAGTCATAATACTACTGTGCCCAAAAATTTTTGAGGGTTGAAGGAGGTAATATATAGAAAACAGTTAGGAGTCTGGCACAGAGCAAGTACTCAGGAAATGCTGTTAGCTCTTATTGCCATCCTTGCCCTCTGAGGCAACAGGTCTGAGCTCAGAAGACAAAATACATCCTCAAAGAGCAACGCCATCATCTATCCAGGACCATGTGCTAGGCACTATAATATAAATTAAACTTATTTCATCATTAGTTTTATTAAGAAATAATTTACATGCCTTAAAGTTCACTTGTTTCCAAGGGTATAATTCAGTGATATTTCACTAAATTTACAAAGTTGTGCAGTGACTACCACAACCCAATTTGAGAACATTTCCACCACTCCAGAAAGATCCCTGTGCCCATTTGCAGTCATCCCCTCTCCCCACGCCCAACCCCAGGCAGCCGCCCACCTGCTGTCTCTGACACTTACCTGAACATTTCCTATAAATGGATTCATATAATATGTGGGTGTTTGCATCTGGCTTCTCTCATTTAGTATTTTTTTTGTGGTTCATATTTTAGCATGCATCAGTATTTTGTTCTTTTTTTATTGCTGCCTGGTATTCAGTTGTATGAATAAACCATATTTTGTTTATCCACTTCACCCATTGATGGACATTTGTTCTTTCCAGTTTGGGGCTATTCTAAATAAAGCTGTTATGAACATTTACCTCCAAGTCTGTGTGTGGACATATTTTCGTTTCTGTTGAGTCGATTCCTGGGAGGAGAATTTCTGAGTCACATGGTATATTCATTTTTAACTTTCAAGAGAAACTGTCAAATTGTTTTCCTAAGTAGCTGTACTATTTTACATTTCCACTAGCAATTAGAAGGATTCCAAGTCCCCATATCCCCTCCCATACTTGTTCTTGTCTTTGATTATAGTCATTTCAGTGTGTGTGAAGTGCATTCTAGTTTTAATTTACATTTCCCTAATGACTAATCATGTTGCGCATCTTTTTGTGTGCTTATTAACCATTCATATTTTTTGGTGAAATGTCTATTCAAATCTTTTGTCCATCTTATAATTATTTCTCTTCTTATAAAATTATAAGAACTCTTCATATATTTTGGATTTAAGTCCTTTATCAGATTTGCGTAGATTTTCTCTGAGTCTCTGGCTTATCTTTTCATTTTCTTAATGGTGTCTTTGAAGCACAAAAGTTTTTTACTTTGAGGTAGTACAATTCATGTTTTTTTTTACGGATTGTGCTTTTGGCATTGTATTTGAGAAATCTTTGCCCAACCCAAGATCACAAATATTTTCTCCTATATTTTCTTCTGAAAGTTTTCCAATTTTAAGTTTTACATCAGGTTTGTGGTCTATTTTGAGTTAATATTTTTGTATGGTGTAAGAGTCTA